TGCGATTGGCAACTACCGCAAGTCATGATGCAGGTGGCCGCGCAAGGAGGAGGAAAACAGCCGCCGTGCTGCCACAACGAGGTCGTCGTGGTGGGCGCGTCGCGTGGCTAGTGAGCAGCGCGGCTCCCATATCAATATAGCAGTCGAGGATGGCCGTGTGCGGACTGCGACGCTTGCGACACGTCTGCTGTCGCCGACCGACACGCCTGTCACAGCGGGCACATCCTGTCGACACCGTGTCGGTGGCTTGCCCCCAAGCAAGGCGGACGACTCGCTGCCCACGTCGGCATTGCTCGCGCGCGTCGCCTGCGCTGCACCCGGCAAGGCCATCCGCCAGCAGCGCGCACTCGAAACGCTGCCGTTGTCGCGATGCCAGAGTTGAGCCACCGACGGCCCTGGTCAGGCACGCGCGCCTCGTCTGCACTGTGGCAGCCGACCCGCCGGGTTGGCCATGTCCCCGATCGAGCCAAGCGCCGCCTTCTGCAGGTCGCTTGCAGGCGGGCCGTTCGCAAAACGTGCTTCAGCCTTCGATCAGTCCCTTCATCTTCGATCACCGCGCCGCTTCACACCTGCGCCGTGGTCCGCGGTGCCTGCTCCGCGTATCCCGACGTTGTGCGTCCATCTACGATCTGCTCGCCCTCCCGCGGCCTCCCAATTTCATCGTGCCCTGCCCGCTCTGTACGGAACGGAGGTCCGCTCGACAGCCTCTGCCAGGCGCGTGGTAGCCCCTGCCTGATCAGGAACGCATCCTACAGGGGACACAGACGCGTCTCCACAGCCCACCGCCCGGCCAACTTCTGGCGCGTTCGACCCGACGTCATCGCACGAGAGCCTCAGATCAGCATGACGAACGCTTGAACGCCCCGGAACCGAAGTCGTGCACCTGCAATCATCACGCACTGCAGAGTTTTTCGCCGGCCGAAACGGGCAGATTGGACGTCGGCTGCTGCCATCGTGATACCTGTGAGCTCCCTCATGCAAGTCACCAGAGGAGAGTTCGCGGCACGGCTTCGACCCCGCCATTCTCAATTGACCTGCAACATGCTGGACAACACGTTCGTTGGCAGCGTGGCAGCAGCAAGCAACTCCCTCTCGCGCCGCCCTCCATCTGAAACGCATGCCATCTCGTCCGCAACGACCATCTGCGATGCCACGTCTGCCAACGACATCCCGGACCAGCGCAACTGCATATCAGCGGTATGTGCGCTGGTCTGATCAGCCTCCTCGTTCCGACCGAATAGAGTTGTAGCTATCGGTCCTGCACCTTGGCGACGGGAACCCCTCCGTGTGAATCTTCGATCGCATAGCATGGTGAGGTGCGCTGGGCAAATCACACGCCCGGGAGCTGACAATTGCGACCCGCGACTGTTGGGCCCGCGATACAGTAGATTCGCTATCTCGATGGCGCCAGTATGCAATGACTCTGGTACTCACTAGTCTTCACAGATGCGATCTCCAGTCTAAATCCAGGCAATACATCTCAAATGCAGCCGCGCTAGGACATGTGGATGTGTTGTTTTGACCTTTCCCCATCGCAGCGGCATCGGCAAATGTTCACGGACTGATCGAACGGTCAGACCACCTGGGTAACTACACCGAAAGTTCATACCACTTTCTAGTCATGTGCTGGATCCCGCTCGCCAACTTCATGTGTTCGAAAGAAACGCGCTTGCGGAGCAACTATCTGAAGTACCTGACGACAACAAACAATGCTTGAAAGCACTCGAAAGCATGGCCAGTCCGCCTGCAGATTTGAGGGACTGTACAGCCGGACACAAGCCCGTGTACCGACGCAGAGGCTCATCAGGGTCGATAAATCTAACATAAGGCAGGGACTCTCTTGTTGACGATCTCCTTTGCGTAACGAGTACTTAGCGGTGGCTGAAGCCCACGCTCGCCCGTCATCGGAGCTGCCTCCATTCTGCTCTACACATGGGCGACTGTTCCACAGCGTCGACCTGCGCTGCTATTCAGGTTGTCGGCATAATAGGCATGTGTGGCGTCCTGAAGCCTCACGGAATGAGTATCTACTCGAGCAAAGATCCTTCGCAAGGCAATGAATCTTGATTGTCGCATTGATCCTCGATAGATATCATGGCGGCAGATTCTTCATGACCGTCCAGCAATGCCGCATTGAAGACCATGCTAGGGGCAGCGTTGGCATCGGTGCTCCGCACGCATAATGCCGCTTCATCCGGGATGGACATCTTCAACCACAGGAGCTGCTCGATATGACATCTCAATTTCGCAGCTGTGCGAGCGCGCGCTCTCTTATCGCCTATTTGCGTCCGCGGAACTAGCTCCTGTCCGATGGGCCATCGTCAGCTCTCCACATTGTGCGCTGCCGCGCCCTTGCCTCCACGACATCAGCCGAGAGATAAATGGATACCCTCAAGTCCCGTGTAACCAGCGTGTGCGGGTCCTAAAATTGCTCTTCACTTTGAATCTCGCGTAAGGAGACGCGTCTGATGTGTCCTGGTGTGCCCTATCACCGACCAAAACCCTACTATGAACCTGAGGCGCGTGGGAGAAATCCGCCTACAGCCCCAATACTGCAGCCGTGGAACGGGAGTAGGGGTCCGTATTTAACTTCCAAGCACACACCTTTGTAACGCGCCTTCGAGAAGGTCTCTCCGCTGCCGTTTGATTGGCAGACACGACCTTAGGGAGCACGCAAAGGCTGCCAATTGGTTCGAGATAGAACAAGATAAATCCGCAATTGCCTTGTCAAGGGGGTAAGCTTGATATCCACTTTAGAAGAGCCCTGTCTCCCGTTCCACGGCTGCAGTATTGGGGCTGTATGCGTCCAGATCTCACACAGGCCCCCAGAGCATGCCTGGCAGCTCTTCCCTTTGAGGTCATCGCCTTGTCTTGTCTAGCACCCAAACACGAAGAGTGCTCTGTGCATGTCCCGCTGCGCCCACGACCTGAGCCGCCGGAGCAGGCGAGACGAGTGACATGTGTCTACAACAATCCTAGACCCCGCTCAGCTTCCGGCCTTCGGCCAAGCTATAAGGCGTTCGCGGGTGACAGCCTGCGTGTATCACATAGCCAGAATGGGATCAACCGCCACGAGCATGGTGCATCAATTTTAGCGGATCATGCACGAGGAACCAATTCTCAAGTATACGGAGGCACGCGGCCCTTCGCTTCTAGTCTCTTGCTACGAGCACTGTACAGTACACACGCCATGGAGATCAATTTACCGCCATAGTGAACAACTAGAAAGGAACAGGTGAGCCTCACGTCGGCCATGGACCACTGACCAGAGACATAGCACAGCAAACAGGATATTCGAACTTGCGACTGGTACACTATGCCATGTTCTGATTGTCACCTCATCATGCTTGCAGATGAGACAGGGTGTGGACAAGGATATCTCTACCTGACGCACGCGACTTCAGCTGCACACGACAGGCTCTCTGCTAAGACCCTACGCCCTTGGTTGTATATCAAGGTAGGTGACCACCCGCATTGATTGCGTCTCGAACCTGAGACGTGTTGGGTCTGTTCTCCGCATACCTTTCGTAACTATCCAGGTACAGCTCATCGGTGCTTGTCGTGTTCTTGATAGGTTCACTTGTTTCGATCGCCTGGACCCAGCTCTGATTGCCGAACGTCAGCGCTCGTCGCGGACTCCGAATTGCGAATATTATATGCCCGATCGCGGTAAACATACCTCAAATCGACTACCGGGTTCGGGGTCGGGCCAACCACGGTATGGCTTCAATACTCTATTCAATCTCACGACCCACGGCGCGAATTGAACATCGACAAAACTCAGTGTGCGGCCCAAGAAGAATGGGCCTTGCTGATCAGCAGCTTCGACGAGTTTCGCGATCTGTTCGGTCAATTCCTGGGCGAATTTGACCTGATTCTCCGGTTCTTGAGCTTGGAGATACTTGTAGAATAGCGGGATAATGTGTCTGTTGATGTGATCGGACCACTGGATCGTTGATATCGCGTCAGTGCTGCCAATGCGTCACTGAGCTCACGAGAGACTCACAAGACGCGAATGTGCGCGAAGTTTTGGATCCTTTGATAATAGTGCCGGGCCTTGATTTAGATCTTCCAGGTACTCCATCAAGACTGTGCTTTCGTAGCTGCCCCAATTGCCATGTCGGAGCGCTGGAACGAGACCTCGAGGATTAATATCAAGAAGTAGTTTCGGTTTCCGATAGACGTCAACTTCGACGTATTGATAGTCTAGTTTCTTGAACTCCAAAGAAATCCACACTCTATGGACCTGAGCGGAAGCTCGTTCAGCGATGAGGTTCAACAGCATCGATGTGATCGACTCACGAATGGACAGAAGCAACTACCATAACTGAATAATTCAGATATCAGTCAGCGAATAATACTGTGATGTTGTGGTCATGCCGTCCTTACAGCTTCAATTCCTTTTCAGCGGAATGAGCATTTGCAGTCTCAAGTGCGTTGCCAGTAGGCTGTTTGTGATATGTCTTCTTCGACGAGTCTCCGCCTTGGTTTGGGTCCAGCTCCCCGTTAGCAGACTTATTAGACGACATGGTTGCAAACGATGAGTTCGAGAACGCAAGCTCTGAACAGAAGCATGTTTATAGTCGTGACTGGCAGATGATGTAGTTAGTATGTCGTCGGCCTTAGCGGGGGAAGTCGCGTGGGGCTCAGGCCGCGAAGTCTTGGCGGCGGCTCCCGCCAGTGAACCCCAAAATTCAAAGAAATGCCACGACACGGACACGGCCACGAGTTGAGCAGTCACCACCCCATCGCACCGCTCCGCCGCCACCGCAATCATGGCAGAAATCAACTTCAACAAGGACTCGCCGATCAAGGAGGTGCAGATCGAGGCGCTGGTGGCCATGCGAATCATCAAACACGCGACTACGACGTATCCCACACCGAGCACCGGTTTCCTGCTTGGCCTCGACGTCAACTCTCAGATCCAAGTGACGAACTCGTTCCCCTTCCCAGCCGCTGTGCCGGAGGCCTCTACCTCGAACGACCCCTATCACCAGCAGGATGCCGCCTCGCTCGCCGCCGCCGCTCCACGCGCCAAGAGCAATGTCGCCTACCAGAATGAGATGATTAAATTCCTGCGCGAGGTGAACACAGATGCGCAAAATGTTGGATGGTATATCAGCTGTAACATGGGTGGTTTCATCAACCAGAACTTTGTGGAGAACCAATACTTCTACCAGCGGGCTCAGGACGAGCGCACAGTGGCGCTTGTCTTCGATGTGTCACGCAGCAGCCAAGGGTCGTTGAGCCTGAAGGCTTACCGCTTGTCGCCCAGCTTCATGGCTGCGTACAAGGAGGGCAAATTCACTACAGAAAGGTGAGACTGGCAGCACGCATTGTCGCGAAATAACACTGACACACACCCGCAGCATTCAAAAGTCCAACTTGCGATTCCAGGATATCTTGGTCGAGCTTCCAGTGCAAATCCACAACTCACACTTGCTCACAAGCTTCCTGCACCAATTACCGAAGGAGGCACCGAAGAAGACCGCCTTGGACTTCCCAGCGTCTCTCGCTGAGCTGTCCCGGGATCCAGAGATTTCCGATACTCCTCTGGCACCAAACCTCGACAGCCTGGACTTATCCATCGACCCATTCCTGGAGAAGACTTGCGATCTGATTTTGGATAGCATAGAGCAGCACCAGACCGAGAACAACAACGCACAGTACTACCAGCGATCACTTGCGCGAGAACAGGCCAAGATCACAACATGGCAGCAGAAGCGCAAGCAGGAGAACGCGCTCCGCGTCCAGCAGAAGCAGCCACCTCTTCCAGAAGATGAATGGCAAAAGCTTTTCAAGCTGCCTCAGGAGCCATCTCGCCTCGAGTCGCTGCTGGTCGGCAGACAGGTCGAGCAGTACGCCAGACAAGTGGATGGATTCTCCGCCGTTGTCACTGGAAAGATGTTCGGTGTCAAGGGTAACCTTTTGCCTGGCGAGACTGTTTGAGGTGATGGAATTGATGTTGAACATGGGTCGGGTCTGCATAGCGCGGCGTTCGGAGCTGGATGGAATGAGTAATGCCATAAAGGGCATAGAGTTCGGAAGCACTCTCAAAAGTTGGAGTGCCATCGATGGATGCCCAAAGACGACGCGATGCGCCCTGTGAGGTTGACGTTGAGCTGAGAAGCTGTCGACCTTGTGGGTAGACACGAAGTTAGACGCCAGTTTGGCTGTGATGCTCTACGAACATAGATGAAATCCTTCTGCTGTGCTTCCAGCACTTGCTACAGATCCATCCACCGATTCAGCCCGCGCCTCCCACCCAGAGATATAAGGTTGCATGCGCGCCAGCATGCTCAAATGACAGCACGGCTTGCGGTTGTTCCAATAACACCACATTCGCATTCACAGCTGTGTCAGTGCAGGCAACGCGTGACACCCCAGAGAGAGCATGCGTGCATATCTGCCGCTGGTCAAACATCAAAGATAGTTACGGTCATTATTATAAAAAGCTTTATACACCTCTCCTCTCCATCTCATTCTCCAGAAACGTCCTCCTGACTCATAAAAGCATATTCACATTCTTCATTTAGAACTCCTCCTTCCTCGCCCAACCAACAAGAGATCTCCATCCCGCATTCCCCTTACCACCCTCCTCCAAAGCCTTAGCGACATCACCCATAACACGCTTCTCGCTACGTCCCATCTCGACATTGAGCTTGAGCATCCATTGCTCCCACATCCTCGCGCCAACGAGACCAGTCATGGCGCGGACATCGGTCGTGCTACCCGTGAGCGGGGGCTCGAATTGCATGACAGTGCCATCAGTGTTGATGGATCGCTCAACGATGGAGGTGGTACTGGACATGGTAGCCCTCTTACCCGCATCATTCCATCGAGGAACAACATCGGCGACAGGAAGCACCATCCAAGCACGCTTGATGTCACAGAATCCAGCACGCTTCAGACGTGGAAGGAAGCTCTTGCCAGCGGCAGGGTCGTAGCCACGGGTCTTGAGGTTGAAGGCGAATTCGACGCCGAGGGCCTGGCTGACGGCATCGGTGTGGACCATTTCAGCATCGAGAAGGTCAAACTCGAGGTAGCCGCCTGGCTTCAAGCAGCGGAGGCATTCGCGGAGGGTCAAGTCCCACTCATCCGCAGCGAAACCCTTTGGCCAGGTGGTCTTGAGGTGGGTGTAAAGGTTGCGAGCAGAGATGACATCGAAGTGTCCATCAGCGAAGGGCAGTTCCCAGAGCCTTGGAGAAGTGACGACGTGGTGGTTGATTGGTCCTTCGAGAGACAAGACGTGGGCTTCGATATCAGATGCAACAGTCGTGAAAACCTCGGCATTTGGGTGCTCTTGAGCAACAGACCAGGCCCAGCTGCAGTTGACTTGACCGGCAAGATCGAGGATTCGGACGTCCTTGCGGCTCTTGAAGCTTGACACGATTGGGCTGGTGAGGAGCTTGCCTCCATTGACCTCACGCTGAGCAGCAAGATGCCAGTTGGAAGACTGGATCTGCTCAAGTGCCTGGCGTTCTCGGTCGGCGGTCGCAATGAGCTCGGTTCTCTTGTCCTCTGGCGCTACAGGAAGTAGGTTGGAGACTGGTCGCGCAGGTGCTGGTCTCTCGGCAGCGACAATTTCGAATTTGCCCTGCAATTGCTCAGCATGGTTCTTTGGCAAGCTGACACGTCGGACTTGCTCTGCCTCTACGCGGGCTTGACGGTGTTGGAACACATCGCGGGCACGCTGCGAACGCTTGTTGTGGCGCCATGCCTCCCAGAATGTACCATCGTGGATGGGAGAGACACGACGGTCCTCGGTAACTGTCAAACCGCTCTTCGGCGATACTGCCTTGGTCTCAGCGAAGCGGACAGACTTCTTGCTTGGCGACTCAAAATCAGCGACCGGAGAAGGCTGCTCGGGAGTCTTGGGTGAAGCGTCCTCAACGTCGGCGAAGGACTTGGTGACTTCGTCTTCCTCGCAAATCGCAACCATATATGCATCCTGGGCACAGAGCCACAATTGGGTGCGATCGATATTGGCTGTGGCCGTCTGCTGCAAAGTGTGCTCGTAGGTCTCGTCGATCTCATCAACTTCGCTAATGACATCTGTTGGCGAGAACATGACCTTGCGTGCGGTGATTGGAGCTTCCGTGGAGGCTGGAGACGCGATTGAAACAACGTGCTCTTCGGTGTCCTCGGGACGAGCGGACCATGGAACATTGTAGAATGAGGTCGCGGTGCTTGTGGGCAGAGCAGAGCTGCGTGCAGAGCGGAATGGCACGCCATAGAACTCTGTCGCGGTGCTCGTGGTTGGCGTTGGCTCTGCACCAGCCCAAGTCTTCCTGGCCATGGTCGAGTCGAGCGATGCGAAGAAGCCTCCTGGAGATGGCACGGAGAGTGCAGATAGCTCGTCATCTGCGTCTTCCTCGCTGGGCGGGCAGAGGTTCTGGGTGTCGATCCTGAAGCGGCCAGTGATTGGTGGTGAATCGACGACCTCTCGCATTTCTGCGGTGGCCTCTTGTGAGATCTCAAGGACCACATGATGTTGAGACTCTGCTTCGCGAGTGATGTGCTGAAGGAGGTTGATCGAGGATGGGTTGAGCTGGACTGGAGGTTCCCAAGTGTTCTCATCCTCGGGAGCTAGGGAGATGTCAGGAGTCGAAGGACAGCTCGAATCTGCAAGCTCCTCAGAAGTCAGGCTTCCGTCCAGAGAAGGCGCAGAAGATGTGCTTGGCACTCGCAGATTCCTTGACTGGAGTTGGGCAAGGATCGATGGTGAAAGATTGATGTTGAGGGGCGGTGACAGAGCCGATGCTGACTTCAGCTTCTCGATAGTCGGCCACTGTCCTGGGCTTGGAATGACGATGGATGGAAATCGACTCTTCTGATCCTTCTTGCCCACCCTTCGCTTTACTGAGGTCGATAGCTTGATTGGCACTTCTTCCGACTCGCTTTCGGTGATGTCGTAAAGCTCGTCGTAGCTCTCTGAGCTACGCTTGCTCCAGAGAGAGCTCTGGTCGGACTCAGAATCGGAGCTGCTGAGGTTCGGGCTGCTCTCGACAGTGGTGCATGAGGAGATGGCTCGGGGAGTTGGGAAATCATCGCTCATCGGCGAGACGATTTGTACGCGTGCCTGGAGCTTCTGTGGGGGCGCTCGGCGGACTGAGACCTGGAATTCATCCTCGATTACTGTATTACGCATGCCGTTGACCTTGCGAGCCGGCGCAGGTGGCATGAAAGCAACGGGCTGAAGAAATGTCGTGTTCGTCATCTTGTGAGAGTGCTGTGTGATTTTGGAATGATTGTAGGCCGACCTGCGGTGACTGTGTGCTAGTCTTCGATCAACGAAGTGTATACTGGAAGGAACAACAGGAACTAAGCACAAAAGAGAGTAGTAGCTGACACACACCCCGAACGTAAAACAGGTGCAGTAGAGCAGAGGCAGAGGCCTACGCAGGTCGGGCCCGCGGCGTATGTATACAAACCTCAGTGGCAAGCCGCAGTCGACCAGCAAGCGCCAGCGCAGCCAACTCTCTATCCTCCGCAGGGCGGTTAAATGGACCCACGGTCCTGCGATCAGGACGTGGTCTGGGCTGGCGCTACCACTTGAGCCTCACGCTCGGCCACGAGCCTGGTTGGATCTCAAAAGGATGAGTCTCCACGACTGCCACGGCGGGAGGGAAGGTCTGTGGCACAGCCGTCTGCAGTTGCGGCGTGCGACATCGAATGAAGTGTCCCAGGACGAAAGCTGACAGGACTTGGGCGCTTCGGCAGCCAATCGAGCGGCCAAGGCATATTATCCGCATACGCTGGCGGCGCAGCACGAGAGTGAAATTGCGCCATTAGGCAGCGTTCATTAGCAGTCATAAGATGAAGCAGACACGCGATGGGCGTGGTTCAGGTGGAAGTGAAGAAGTGGAGGTTAGTGTTGAGGGTTAGGTTGTCGGATGCAATCGCGACGTTCTTCGTCGGCGTTTGCAAATGACGCACCGCGTTCCCACGCGATCATCTCTGCTCAAAAGCTTGACTGGCACCCGGCGCCTCTACAGTACAATATTTGCTGTTCATCAGTCCGCGCCTGTCACGACATCGCCTTTGCGGGAGCACAAGCTGTCTGGAAATTGCCCAGACCACGCGCTACCTGCAGACAGCAGCCTCTACACTTCGCTGCCTCTCGTTCCGCATTCGAAGCATGGCCCCGCCAGCCATTATCGCGCCCTCGATTTTGAGCGCAGACTTTGGCGCTCTGGGCAAGGCATGCTCTGATACGATCGGCCAGGGCGCAGACTGGCTGCATGTGGACATCATGGACGGGCACTTTGTGCCCAATATGACATTTGGCGCGCCTGTAGTGACCATGATCCGAAAGCATGTGGATAGGCCGCAAGAGGCACTGGGCAAGGGAACATTTGACTGCCATATGATGATCGCTGAGGTATGCTGGAGAGAGCACTAGGTGATACGGTAGGATGGCTGTCGTGCTGACCAGCACCACAGCCAAAGAAGTGGGTGAAGTCGTTCAAGGATGCGGGCTGTGATCTCTACTGCTTCCACTACGAGGCCGCCGTATCTTCCACAGCTGCGGAGTCTCCGGAAGGGCATAGCGACCAGAAGACGAGTCCAAAGGAGCTAATTAGATATATACATGCCCAAGGCATGAGGGCAGGCATTGCCATCAAGCCCAAAACCCCAGTAGATGTGCTGTACGACATCTTCGACAGCGACGTCAAAGAGGAGGTGCCTGAGGTGAGTGAAGGGTTACATTCGCTCCCTTCGAATATCGTCACTGATCATTGTGCAGATGGCCCTCGTGATGACAGTTGAGCCAGGCTTCGGAGGCCAAAAGTTCATGCCAGACATGATGCCCAAGGTGGAAGCTCTGCGGGCACGATATCCAGATCTCAACATCGAGGTGGATGGTGGATTGAGCGAGAAGACGATTGACACGGCGGCTGATGCAGGCGCGAACGTGATTGTGGCTGGAAGTGCAGTGTTTGGCGCTCAAGACCCAGGGCATGTCATCGACGCTCTCAGAGCGGCAGTGGACAAGCGCCGATGACTACCTGCTGGGAGCAGACTGTAGTATACGATGCGGTAGCCTTGATACTGTAGTTCTCCCGCAGTTCAGAGCTGTCGCGGGAGATTAGCTGCTCGTTCACAGCTCCGAACACCTTCTAGAGTCCTGGGCGCGGCGTGGAGAAACCCTGGTCGGTGGAGCAAGTTCGGTCGATGGACATTGCTCAGATATGCCGGACTTCGGAAGCAGCACAGGTCAGACGTGGCCTGGATGCTGTTGTCTGCTGCCGTCTTTGTTCTGCAACGTGGCAGCGGACAGGTTGCTCCCAGTGTGTTTATTGTGCACCATTTTCGACCTCGACGGAGGGCCGAGATGAGCTTGGCGACGTAGGCTGTCGCGACCCCAGAAACCTTGATGTTGCTATAGATATACCTCCTACGTGACCCGCGGCGTGAGACACGAGGGACGGTAGTCCAGAGGCTCTTTCGGTGAATTGCACCACCAACATCACCACACGCTGCTCATTCCGTGCTGAGCTCGGCTGCTGGACTAAAAGGCCACGCCCCTAGCTGCTTGTTCATGTTCAGACACACACATGTCGCGCGTCAACTGAACCTCCATTGAACTCTCTTGCCATGGCGCCTTCCAAGTATGAGGTCGCCAGCGAGGAAATGCAGCCGCTGAACCGCTCGCGAGACACGCCGAGCCCCTACGAAGACGATGAAGGACGGCCATCGGGCTCTTCGGCCAGCACCACATCGTTTGTTCTCGAGAACATGAACGACAAAGCCAAAGAAGCCTTGTGTGCCGATGGGCCGCATACCAAGGAGGAAGACGATGGAGGTGACGAGGAGGATCTTGCCTGGCAAACTAAAGTCAAGCCGGTCGATCGGAAAGCGCGACGCATACTATACGTGCTGGTTGCCATAGGTGCCGTAGGCTGGATCGCAGCGCTGTTCCTGTTCTTGGGTCAGAACAGGCAATTGACACACGCCGAACGACCGCACGATCCACACGCTACAAGCACGACAGGGAATGGTAAAAAGGTCACATTGGAGCAAGTACTGTCAGGCTCGTGGTTCCCGCAACAACACTCAATACGATGGGTTCCGGGCCCTGCTGGCGAGGATGGCTTGCTACTGGAGCGAGGCGGCGCCGATGGACGTCAATACCTGGTTGTCGAAGATGTGCGGTACAGGGGACAAGACGTATCGGTGCAAAAACAGAATGCCAAAACCCTGATGCAAAGGGGTGTCTTCCAAGTGGGAGGCGAAACAGTCATGGTTCACGAGGCCTGGCCGAACCGCGACCACAAGAAAGTTCTCGTCCAGAGCGACTACCAGAGCAATTGGAGACACAGCAACACTGGGAGGTACTGGATATTCGATGTTGAAAAACAACAGGGACAACCGCTCGACCCCGCCAATACCACTGGACGCGTACAGCTGGCGTCGTGGAGCCCGACTGGCGATGCTGTTGTGTTCACACGAGAGAACAACATGTTCATCCGGCATCTCGATTCGGACATTGTAAACCAGATCACGACCGATGGCGGCAAAGATTTGTTCTACGGTATTCCGGATTGGGTGTACGAAGAAGAAGTACTCGCAGATGGCGGCGCGACCTGGTGGAGTGGCGACGGCAAATACGTCGCCTTTTTCAAGACCGAGGAAAGCAAAGTTCCTACATTCCCCGTACAGTACTTCTTCAGCCGGCCAAGTGGTAAACAGCCCTCGCCTGGTGAGGAGAACTATCCGGAAGTGCGCAATATCAAATATCCCAAGGCCGGCGCCCCCATGTCTGTAATTGAGCTATTGTTTTACGATGTCGCCAAGGGACAAGTCTTCAATGTACCCATTCAGGATGACTTCCCAGACGACGACCGACTCATTACTGAAGTTATCTGGGCTGGCGAAACTGGAAAGGTGCTCATCCGCGAGACAAACAGGGAGAGCGACAAGCTCAAGATGATTCTGGTCGATGCGGAATCGCGGACTGGCAAGACTGTGCGCGAGCGGGACGTACAGGGCCTTGATGGTGGCTGGTTTGAGGTCAGTCATACCACCAAATATGTACCTGCGGATCCCGCCAATGGACGACCCAATGATGGCTACATCGACACCATCATTGACGACAATTTCGATCATTTGGCGTATTTCACACCTCTCGACAACCCGGAGCCAAAGATGCTCACCAAGGGCTCATGGGAGGTTGTCAGCGCCCCTTCTGCTATTGACCTGAAGGCCAACGTTGTTTACTTCATTGGCACGAAAGATGGCAGCACTCAGCGGCATGTTTACACCACGAAGCTGCTCGAAGGCCCATCCAGTGTTACCGCTGTAACAAAGACTGGCGAAATTGGCTACTATGATGCTTCTTTCTCTGCCGAAAGCAAATTCATGTTGCTCACTTGCAAAGGACCTGGCATTCCATGGCAGAAAGTGCAGTCTACCCCAACAAACAACGAAATCTCTGTTGATGTCACAATTGAGGAGAACACGCGCCTGAACGAACTGGCCAAGAGAACGGAGCTCCCAATCGAGATATACTCCACTATCAATATTGATGGCTTTGACATGAACATCATTGAGCGCCGTCCACCACATTTCGATGAGAAGAAGAAGTACCCAGTGCTCTTCTGGCTCTACAATGGACCGGGATATCAACAGGTTGACCGCCAGTTCACTGTCGATTTCCAATCTTTTGTTGCAAGCAGCCTTGGATACATTGTAGTCACTCTCGATGGATTTGGTACTGGTTACTTGGGCCGAGCGCAAAGGACCAAAATTCGGGACAACATTGGTTATTGGGAGGCATACTCTCAGATCGCCGCCGCGAAAGCGTGGAAAGCCAAGAAATACATTGACTCCGACAAAATGGCCATCTGGGGCTGGAGTTATGGTGGCTTCATGACATTGAAATGTCTCGAACTCGATGCTGGCGAGACTTTCAAATACGGCATGGCTGTTGCTCCTGTCACCGATTGGCGCTTCTACGACTCGGTCTACACAGAGCGATACATGCACACGCCACAGAACAACCCATCTGGCTACGACAACGCCACCATTTCGGACATGAGCGGCTTGTCGAGCAATGTCCGTTTCCTTGTCATGCATGGCGTCAGCGACGACAACGTACATTTCCAAAACACCTTGCAACTTTTGGATAAGCTCGATCTTGCAAACGTGAGGAACTACGATGTACACATTTTCCCGGACAGCGATCACAGCATCTTCTTCCACAATGGCCAGGTCATGGTCTATGAGAAGCTACGGGACTGGCTCATCAACGCTTTCAATGGCGAATGGCTGCGCACTGATGACCCCACGCCGCTGAGGATCGGCGCGTCTTGAGGTGGAAGAGATATGTGAACCACTCAGAGTCCACACTATACGAAGCCCACCATGCCAACTACCTCCGCCGATGAACCAGCAAGACTGAATCCGTTCATGCCCGCGGATTTCCCGCCACAAGGTCTTGGAGATTACAATTCCCAAGAAGTCAGATCGTAGCGCTTGCCCTTGGCCATTCATCTGGCTCACCGGAGGCTATGCACGAAAGAAGCACTTATTTGCTGGCTCTACGCCAGACGATCCAGGAAAGGATCTCGTTACCCGTGCAGTCTTGGAGAATGTGCACTTGCATGAGAGCATGCAATGCTGTAGCTTATGATCAAGAGACGTTATTCTTATGATTATTAAATGCTCGCAAGAGTATCAAATGTTTTGATATGAAGGGTGTAGAATGAACCGGAAGACCACTGCGTCGTCATTGTCGAATAGACTCGACATGTATGTACAGGAAATTAATGTCGCAAACAGACATTGAACCATGAATGACTCACTTGCTATTTCTTCCTTCTTGACTTGCAAGTGACAGAAGGGACGCATGTGAGCATTTGACAACACGTCTTTTTGGCGCAGATACCGCTGTGCGATGTGTTCTATCCTGCGTGTCCCGGACTAAACTTCGCCTCGATACCGGTGCCACCACGTCCGTGACCGAATCCCCGTCCTGTGAGCCGCGTGCTCCTTTATGAGATTTTTGCTCTCCTTCCCTCCTGCAAAGACCCAAGAGTCATCGCGGGAGAAGAACTTCCCGCGCTATGCAGTTCGCACACTTTCCTTCCAAAGCCAGCCAGCGCCTGCCTATCCCGCTAAGTCCCCAAAAACGACTCATGCGCAATATCAAGTTCTCTGCGGCATTGTGGTTGAACATCTGCCGACTTTCTTGCATGTTCAAGATTCTCCAGATTGAACATTACAAACCATTACTTCCTTCAAGATGATTGCCACTTCTTTTCTCGCACGTATTGTTCCCTTCCAGCTTTTTTGCGCTCGCCCGTAACTTCTTCTTTCCATGACCAATATTCTTTGAAGCGGCCTTCTGCGTATTTCACGTAGTCGAAGTCGATTTGGCTGATGTCTGCTTGGATCAATGCCCAGATGCCCCACTGTAGAAAAGCACAAATGTCAGTAAAAACGTTCGAACAGTTTCGGAGAAGACAGTAGAGCGTACATAAAATCCAGGCAAGCCGCGGAATAAGTCGACCTGCACCATAAGAGTATCGATGTCTTTTTGGAAGTCAATCTCGATCGTCGCATCGCCTTCAGGGATCGAGTGGTATCGGTATGAAGCAACATAGTGCTGGATAAATTCGCGCCTCTGGGATTTGTTGGGTACGCAGGCATGGTCGCAATCGTAACCTGCCCACTCTGCGAAATGGTTTGCAATATCGAAAGCCGCAGGACCGGGAGTCGCATATTCGTAGTCGATGAAGCTGACTGGCTTCTCTTTGGCGTCGGAGTGAATATCGACAATCACGTTGCCGCAAAGTAGATCGTGGCTACCAGACATATGTTAGTATATGGCTGTTCAGAAAATTGTGAGATATTCCTGGGCGAGTCCTACTGTGCGAACACGAATTCTCGGCCGTCAAAACTGGTACTGCCGAGCTTTGGCTCTAGCCATTGAAGTTCTGTTTCAATCATTTTTATGCGCTCTCTCTCCTCTTCGGTGCTTTTGGGCAAGACGTCGATCCATTGGCGCATGGTCGCCCACGTGTTTGGAAACGGGCGTGTGCTGTTGCCATTGACAGGCGCAAGGTGCTCTTGGGCTTCGGGCTCGCGATCGAGGATGGGTGTAGAAGTGATAGCACCAATGGGCAGAGAATGCCACTGACCAAGCATTTTGGCTACTTGACGCGAGATCTCTGGCTTTGCGAGGTCCAGGTGCGAGCAGACATGACCAGGGATGAATGCATACATCAGACCATTGTCAAAGCGTGCGAGCAAAGGAGGCGCGAGGCCGAGATTTGCCAGGAGGTTATGTGCTCGAAGCTCTCTTTCACGGTCTATGATAACATCTGTGCCCTCGCCATATGCTCGCATCAATATGGCGTTGCGGTCAATCTCAAGCTCCGTCATGCATGGCCGCCGCTTGATTGCCTTCATGAGCGTGTTTGTGATGCCGTCTGTGAAGCGCACGAATTCCACTGGTCCCTCCTCGGTCTTCCATTTCGGGTCATATTGCTCGATGAGTGCCAGGGCACTCTTCTCTGACTCGGAGCTGTCGAAGTGGAAGGAGATGTGTCGGAGGGCGAGCGGCGAGTCGACGCGGTCAGGTCGGGAGGCTGTCGAAACGGCGTGAGGCGAAGACATTGTCTGTGGTGTGAGCGGTAGCACAATATCTCATTATTTCAAGGAGATCGCATAAGGAGAGTCGCGGTCGACGAGGGGGATCTGTCGGCCGGTGATCACGCCAATTTCGGTTGAAGTGTTCAGTGCGTGCGTCGTGGGAGAGGGAAATGTTCACCTGCAGGCCTCCGGCAATCACTTATAGCAGCAACGCGCAGCGTAGCAGTGTGCCTTCTCGGCAGCTGCCACTGACCATCAGCGTGTGCCTGACGGGCCCTTGGTAGCTTGACGTGCCATCATGCAGCCGCCGAGCGGGGCTCCTGAATACCGCCAGGGTCGTCTGGCATGTGAAGAATAGCCGGACGCCCGCCTCAGGCGCAAATGGGGCGGCGGATAGTTGTCGGGGCACCTTCATTGTCCGCGTACCCTCCTCCGCCTTCGCATCGACTCCCTCTTCGATAGAGCAACTGCGTCTTGCTGTTCGAATTGAGCTGCTCTGTTGAAAACGACGCTACCGCGGCCCAGCAGAAGCCTGTGGGAGACGTGGACGTGGTTGTAGTGGCGCAGAAAAGTGGTGGACAAGTCGCGGTGCTTTTCTGGTTCGGCCGTCAAGCGACCCGCTCCTCAGATCAGCCATCTGCCTATTGAATATATGCAGGGGCTCGCTTCAAGGAGATTTACGACGCTCGTTCGTACAGATGCCCAGTCAAGATTCTTGATCTGTGGGCACATTGAAAGAGAAATTCACCGCGCTTTCAATCCAGGTCCAAATAGGAAAGAAAGTGGCCGCGACTTTCTTGCCGCACGATGCACCTGTGGACCCTTGCGAGATGCCCATGATCGTCGTGGCGCCCTTGGCTTCTGCGTTCGATGGCTTTCGCCGGCGTGCGCGCTGAGCGAAGCACGGCAGGTGGTCTCGTGATCGGCCAGGAGTATGGACAACTGTTGCCGCATAGGATCAAAAATGTCGCAGGAGATCACTGCGATGCTGAGCATGTCAATGTTTCTTCATCGATCATGCCCATCGCATGTCAGAACAGTTGTGATGCGGCTCTAAGTCTACAAGTCTGCTAGTTGTACAACATCGCTGCCCACTCTCAGCCGAATGCTCACGACGCACCAGGGGTACCACTCGCTGCTGCTGCCGCCTTTTCTGCCAGGAGACTTTGCCGCTGACCGTAGCCCTGACTGAGGTAACTACCAACACCAGCGGCCCCAGGATAGTTGCCACCACTTCCTCCGTGCCCTTCAGCTGCCAGTCTCCTCTCTCGGTACTTGCGTCCATTAATAATGTTCTGCAATCGTTTTCTCTCTCTGGGCTCTGTGATCTTGGTCCAATCGAGGTCTTCCCCAGGTTCTGCATAATTGATGATATCTGCCATTGTGCTCGCACTGATCTGTCCCTGACCACCGGTTGAGGCGCCCGTGTAGAGATGAGAATTGGGGTTGATGCTATCATCGCGAGGGCGTGCGGGCGTTTGCGCAGGCGTCGACACCGGGAAAGAGGCGACGTCAGACTGCAATTGAGACATATGCCGTTGAGGTTGCGCTGGCTGCGCATATTGTGGAATATGAGCTTCGCGGGAGCCTTGATTTTTCTCGTGTGCGAATAGTCGGGCGTTCCAGGGTGGCAAGCGCTTGTCCCGTTCGTAGAGCAAGCCGCAATTATTGCACAGCGTCTGCGCGCACGTTAGAAAATCATCAAGCTTAGCAGCTGGGAGCAAACTTACTCTTGGGCCAGCAGGTCCATCGCGAACACCCCAAATCGCTGAGCCCCACACACAGCAGTGCGAACAATGCCAATACTGACGCTCGCCTTCGGTGAGTTGATAGGAGGTGCCGCCAAAGCCTGCGGCTTCAGGAGTCTCGCGACCAACCGGAGACAGACTCCTAAACCGTCTCTTCTGTTTCGATCGTGCGCCTCTACCCATGCGCTCCTCATCGCCGCCAACCGTAGCTTGTGACGCGCCGAGACCACCCGAAAAGTAGTCGTTGAGCCCACTGCTCTGTGTCTGGTACGTGAGAGTTGTTGTAAATCGAGCCGTCTCTCGTCGCTGCCGCCGGATCTGCCTTTCTCGATCGCCCTCACGCTTTTCAATCTCGTCTTTGCTGAGCACTTCGATCTTTGGCTCCCAATCAGCGCCAAGACCATCCTCGTCCAATCTCCAGCCTGCGCCGACCCCGAGCGAAGTCTTGCCAGTGCCATGAAACTCGCAGACTTCATTCTCTAGCACGCCCCAACCGTCCACACCACTCCCGACCACACCAGCAAGAGTGCCGTTGTTGTCCACCATGTCCTTCTTTAAACGCAGACTGGCCTCGTAGATAGCATGTGCCATCGTTGGGACCCATTCACTCGGAAGTCCTATATCAGCACATGTTTGACGAGCAAAGATCTCAGGAAATCCAGGTGGATGTAGCAGTGACCACTCAAACTTGTCCGTGTACAGCCTGTTTTGGACGTTGATGGAAAGTGTTATGATGCAGCGATGTGAGTCCGCAGGGTTGATAGCTGACGATGTTAATGAGTCGCGTGCGACGGGTGTCGCTGTCACTGCCACTGCAGGAGTCGAGCTGCCATTTTCGTTGGGTGTGGCCGCGTCCGATGACGGCTCGATGCCGTTCATATGAGGGAGGTCTAGATTTCTGTTGATCGGCGTGCCAATTTGCAGCGGCGTGGAGGAGTCTTCGCGAGACGGCCCAGGTCGTATTGACGGTGTGGGGGCATTTGTGGTGGTGGCCGGTCCATTTCCTGCGTCGGGCTGGAACAGCGGGTGAAGTGCAGTCGGCGCATGCTCTTCCAGTTGCATACGAATCTGAGTAGCAATTTCGTTAATCATGTGCTGTTTGCGCATCACAGGAAAGTCCAGCTCATCGACCAAGGTTTTGGCGAACATGTCGGGGGTGATTAGAGCTTCGTGCAGATTCCACAAAAACGTGTCCTTGAGCCTATACGGCGGTGTTGGCTCCGGTGCCTTGTATGCGGGGAGGTTCTCATCAATCCCAAAATCCTTAGCATTGTTAGGCGTAGGTAACGCGGCTTCGGGCCTGAAAGGCGCAATATCCAAATCGATCTTGATGGGTATCAACGTCGTCGGCAGTGCAGACTGCACATGCATTTGCCTCTCAGTCAGGGTCCGCTTAGGCTTCCCCATCCAATCTCTCCAAATGCCCTGCACGTCTACTGGCGCGTGAATCTCCTTGCCCAGCTCCTTGACCTTCTCGACCATAGGATCAGGCACATTGCGTTGCTGCGCGGTGCGCAAGCCGGTTGCGCGCCGCGAAGGGCCATCTGAGTCTTCTATACTATCATCTTCGAAATCGTCGGCGTAGTTGATAACGGTCGTGCCTCGTTTCGTTGTTCGTGCTGGCGGAAGGATAGTTTGTGGCACCACAGGCGTCAAAAGGGAATTCCCATATGTGCGTATTCGTGGAGCGTAACTCGAGACAAACGCCTGTGGTGCGTTCACACGCGTCGAATTGACCGCTGCGGTGGCCATCTTCTCTACTCGCGATCGTGGAGCGGTGCGGGTTTCTCAGTCGCGAAGAAGCTGGCGGCGCAACGCGTTAGGAGACTATGGCGACATGGACATCATCGAATTCGCATCAGTCTGGCGATCACGATAAGTTCGTTCTGGGTGCGGTAGTACGTTGGTTGTGGTGTTGATTGTGGATGTCGGACATGCAAGGGACCAACGTGTGTTGCTTGTCCAGCGCGCTTTCTTCGAGACGTGTGGAGTTGTTCTCGGCACACAGCCGAAAAGCCCTAATCCAGCTGACTAAGAAACACGTCTCGATCCATCTTATCCTTTCCATCTCACTTCGCATTTCACGCATACACATCAACAAGCACCCTGCACTCTGCCTCGATCGATTCATCGCATATCGCACGCTATCAAGGGCATACGCTGACATGATTCACTACTGCATGACGGCATTCGAGCGGGCGACTCCGAAGCGAGGTCTTCACTGCAGCAAGGCGGCGCGTACCTCGTGTTTCAGGTCGGGCGTCTTGTCTGCAACCGCACGACGAGAGCGCCTGGCTGTTCGGCACCTCATGCCGACAAACACATCTGCAACAACGCCTATGGGACTTTGAGCGCGGCACAATGCGCATTCTCTTCAAATCTTTGTGCTTCTGTCTAATCGCAGGTCTCGTCTCATGTTTGAATCCCTAGCGCACCTCCATATCGGCACAAAGCTTGGGAAATGCTTAGTGTTCGTGAAACATCGAGTTGCGTCGAGCACTGTACACTCTTTGCCAATGAGCGCTTCGAGTCTCAAGAGACGCCCGTCACTTTCCTGCAGGACCCACCTAGAACGCGTGAATGCGACCATTGTGCGGCCAATCCTTTGTCCAAGGTCGACAACGAGAAGCCATTCATTGTGTTACAGACACAATAGATCGTGAATGAAAGGCCCTCCGACACCCTTCGACTTCATCTTTTAAGCTCCACAGACCACTCTCCTTCTCTTCTCTTCTCTTTCCCTTATTCAAACTCGAATCAACTCACAAATCGTCTGCACAGACAGCCTCAACACACTCTCTTGCAAACAAACACCAGCTTCCACAAGCTACCTACAGCTCAACAGCAACTGCGTGCATTTCTAGCTGGTCTAGAACTGCAAGCACACAACCAAACAGACTCGAAGCACGAAATCGACAGCAACGAACAAGATGTTCGCCAACGCACTCTCTTCCACCGTTGCGGTGCTCGCTCTCCTCGGCCAGGTATCCGCACACATGAAAATGGCGACGCCCATTCCTTACGACAAGAAGGACATAACGAGCTCTCCACTTCAGAGCAGGAATGAGTACCCGTGTCAACGGCAGACCTACAATTTCGAGCCGTCCGAGATGAACGAGATGAAGGTCGGCGACAACCAGACGCTCTCATTCGACGGCAGTGCTTCTCATGGTGGTGGCACTTGTCAGCTCGCGATCTCCCTCGATGCTAAACCCACCAAAGACTCGGTCTTCAAGCTTATCCAGGTCTTTGAGGGTGGGTGTCCAACTTCTGGCGGAGGCAATGATGGCTCGCACCCTTTCACCTTCAAGATTCCTCAGGGATTCCCAAATGGCGACTTCGCACTAGCCTGGACCTGGTACAACAAGATTGGGAACCGCGAGATCTATCAGAACTGCGCCCCAATTCGGGTCACAGGAGGTGCTGATAACAACGATGTCTATGACTCACTCCCTGAGCACTACATCATCAACTTGCCGACGTCAGAATGTTCCAGTGTTGAGACTTCTGACCAGATCATTCCGTTCCCGGGCCAGTACATCATCACGGGAGAAGGCGCCAAGCCGGCCTCCGCCACTGGTCCCTCCTGCGAAGCATCTGCAGCCGCTATGACGAAGAACGTCAAGGGCTACAAGTCCGAAGTCAGCGACAATGGTGCTGCTTACACGGCTCCAGCTGGTGGCAGCGGCCCTGGCGCGAGTGCACCTGCTTCAAGCGCTGCCCAAGCTACTTCTGCCGCTGGTTACGGTGGTGCTCCGAGCAGTTACAACAACGGCCAGTACTCCGCACCCGTCACAACATCCGCCGCGACCTCTGTCGCAACATCTGCCGCAGCATCAGCAGACACCTCTACCATGGCATCTTCAGAAGTTGAGTCGGCTCCCATCAGCTACCCAACGCTCTCTCTATCAAGTGGTGCTGGAGTCAACGCTCCAGCTGCAGGCACCGCGTCTGCTTACACTCCGATTGGTACTGGCAGCACTTCTGCTCCTAGTGAAGGCTCGTCCTCTGGCAACGGTATCATTTGCGATGCCTCTCACGCAAATCAATTCGGTGTCAACGTTGGAGATGAGACCGTGTGGCGAGCGGTCGCTGCGGGAACCACATGCGAGCAAATCGCTGCGTACCGCAAGCGTTCTCTCCGTCACGCTCATGTCCGTCGACACCTTCAAAACGTTGGTCGTATCTAGGCAGTGGCCAAATTCGAGGTTCACTAACGCTTTTGGTACCTCATGGGACCCTTTTGTTCAGCGAGAATGGTAGCAGGCGTTCAGTGACGACGACACGATGACTACTTTTCTGCATAGCGTCGGCTGGGTTTAGAAATGCATGTTCAGCCTGCGTGATCAGGTTGCAAAATTGCATAGCATGGATTTCGCCGAGGTTCTCATCTCTTCTTGTGCTATTGCATAGCGTGGGTTCATAAAATGGATTCCAAGCCTCGAAGGCCCCGGACTGTGCCAGCTAGATACTGCGAATACACAGCAATGAATCATTTCTTCGCCGCTTTCCTTGCCGTTCCCTATATTGAACATAACATGTTATGTGATTAGTCAGATATGCCTGAGGTTGAAATTTGTGGGACGAAAACGAAAGCACGAAAGCCTCGAGGTCCCTACACTTCGTTCCTACACTCGCCTCATCTTTGACCACACCCACAACACTCTGCGACCGCAGTCGGATGATTTTACTACTTGAAACTGCCGCCCAGCCCCATATCGTGTCAAGGCCGGCGCGAAGTGTTCACCTGCGATGCACCATTTAGCCGACACGCTCCACACTACCTCCTACGTGACTGCACCATCTCATTCTAATGACAGCTCTTCGCCTCCGGAGAGCATGGCAGATAGGCTGAGTATCATGTTTGCGTGGGTCGCCAAGTAGAATAATGTAGCTAATCTTGGAGACTTCAAGGACCATGTGCATGCGGCACAGCTAACGAGCCGCCGCTGTACGGCGCAGTTGACTCTAAGCGCCAGACCTTGCAAGGAAGACATATTCTTATAATGCCGATCACAACACTGCTCTTACACGATAGATCCGGTTCTCAAGCCTCATCACTTTCATTTTGCTCGCAGGTCGTCTTGCCGCAGCTGCACTGCAGCATTTTCGTTAGTTCCTTCTGTCTTTTCATCTACCCATCATGCAGCATACCGGCCCTTACCCTCGCAGGACACATTGGCCCACGTTCGCTCTTCTGCTAGGCTCATTACTCTTTGGAATCTGCTTAGGGATCGGACATCATGCATTTTACCAAAGCCTTCACAAATCTCAAGTCTCAGGACAGCCGTTCACCATGGCAGGATGGAAGACATCGCGGCAACAGCTTATTTCTGTCGGTGGAACGGCTTTTGCTTTTGTCTTCAAGGCCAGTCTGGTACTCTGTGCGACGATCGCATACATGCAAGTTTTCTACCTTACCTTGGTGAACGGTACGTTCACTCTCGAAAAGCTGGACAGGTGGTTTTCCTCGCTGGATGACATTCGCTCGCTTGGCTGCGTGGCCACTTATTGGAGGCATCCGTGCCTCACTTTGATGGCCATCACTGCGTGGTACCACACTTTCGCTTTGCCAATGATCTACTCAGACATTAACACATCCCGCAGGTTACTTCCTCTAGCCGCCATCTTCTCACCAGCTGCGCTTTCACTCAGCTTTGAGGAGATTACACCGTCTCCTATGCGATCGGTATACGTTCCGCAACCAGCTTTTGACAGCCTCGCATTCTGGAGTGTCACGCCATATAATGGTAATTACGTCAACACGACCAGTGGCCTTGTGTATAGAAGTCCTGCAGAAAGTACGCAACGCATAATTCGCGCCGTTGCTGCAGGTGGCGAGATCCTTCCAATTACTCCCCCAGACACGAATGCATCCTGGACGTCAACTTTGGAACTGCCCAGGCTCTCATGTACTACGCTTGACAAAGAGACGAGGGAAGCTGTCGAAGACAATATCTCACAAGCTATATATGAGACCGGCGACGCAAAGTCTGGTCCAGCGCATGGTTTCTCACAGGACACAGGGCCTTACCTGACGAGGGCTATGTTCGCATATCTGGCTTGGGTGGGGTCTCCAAATGGCAACTGGAAACTGCCTTTCCCACAAGCCGATGCTAACCAGACATATTACTTGAATGTGCAAGATTATTTGAATGGTCGGAGTAACTACGCACAACTTGACAGTTGGTTCGGTGTGGTTCCTCGAGCCAGAGACAGCTCAATCCCGGAGAAGTATTCTTACTTCGATACCAAAACCAACACAGCGCCACAATGGAGTCTGAAAGAACCGGGAGAGCCCATAGGTCTGGATGACTGGGAGGGCTTCACCTGGCGGAATCTCAGCAAGGTGTACCGTGAAAGCTACCGTGGATTGTTTAAATGGTACATGGAGGATGCAGTCTTTCTCAGGTGTCAGCTGGGAGCGGCCAAATACACACTGAATTTCTCCTACTCGAACCAAGCGCAACATATCCAAGTGTCCAGTGTCGAACCGACCTCACTCGTGCCCGCCATAAATAACATCAATTTCGAAGTCGACAGCAACGGCAGTCTGGTGCTGAATGCTTGCAACTATGGCTGCGAAGGGCCAACTCGCAGTCCAGCAGGAATGCGGAGCCACTCTTACATGGCGATCTATCAATCTTTCATGTCGCTTTTCGTCGGAGCTTATCAGTACAGCACTGGCAAACTTGGCACCGCTAACATGGACGGCCACGCTTATTCGACCGAGATCTTCTCTACTTCCCTGATTGAAAGTATCGAGATCTCGAAGCTCGCTCTTTGGCAGCCATCGGCTTCGAACATCAGCAACGCTACTTCTGGTCCGGCCTACGACGACGCGGCGAGCCTCTATGCTCCAGTGCAAACCAAGCCAGAGTCGCGAAAGCCTTTATCGGAAATGCTCGAAGAATTATTTTTCAATGCAACAATCTCAATGGCAAGCTCTGATGCTCTGCTGTGAGTCCAATCTGTGCACTGGTCACTGCAATTTCTTCTAACATCAATTTACAGGTACAACCATTCGTCCCCTTACGCACCTCCACCCCAGAATGTCACATTTCGTGTGCACGGCAACGTCTACACGTACGATGCGCATAAACTTTGGATACCGTATGGCATTGCGTTGGGTGTCAGCTTGCTGAACGTTATCTGTGGACTCTGGGCAATGTTGAGTGTCGGCGCATCGTTCACAGCAGACTTTTCCAGCGTGGCGCGTATTGCCAGAAACGCAGATATTGGTGCCGACTTGAGAGAGGATCTCGCCGGGAAAGATCCTCTGCCCAAGTATATGGCTCGAGCTACACTGGACTTGCATGGCGATCAGAAGTTGAGCATTGGAAAGCCAGAGCTGGTCGTCCAGGAGGTCCGTCCTGACAAGGCCTGGGTCCATAGCCGGGAGTAGAAGACACCAGCGTTTTACATGCATGACGACTACGCATAGGAGAGTGACTTGAACAGCCATAATGCTATGGAATTTCATATCCAGTGTCGTGGCAATTTTCTCATGTCAAATATCATACATGCCACAAGCCAAGATCGCCGTGGCGCCTACGCGCAAAGGAGGCCCATCTACTCCACCACGACCTCGACATTCGTCACAACATTCCCCTCAGTAGCCCTCGAATAAGGACAAACGCCCTTCGTCTTCTCCACCAACTTCTCCACTTCCTCTTTGCTAATGCCCTTCACCCTAACCTTCATGTCCACTCGAATCCCCAAATCCAACTCCTTCATACTCCCAATCAAATGCACCGTCGTATCAACCACACTATCACTGGGGAACTTGATCCCCATCGTTGGAGCGACGGCATTCATAGCAGATTGGAAACATGCTCCATAGCCTGCTGCGAAGAGCTCTTCTGGATTTGTGGCTCCGCCTTTACCGCCGAGGTCTTTGGGCTGGCCGAGTTGGAGTTGCAGGTTCTCGGCTGTGACTTTGCCATTGCGGGCGCCGGTGACGGTTGCATGGGCGGCGTAGAGGGATGGGGAGGTGGATTTGTTGAGGTAGCGGACTTGCTGGACTTGGACGATGTTGCGGGTTGCAAGGCGGGGAGCGCTGCGAAGGAGGGGTTGGAGGGTGCGGATGGTGGCCATGATGGACTGCGTATAGCAATATCGTGTTGTATGGTATGCTTTTGTGGGTCCTCGAAGGATTTCTGAAGAACACTATATGCTGTTGGTATGCGGCCAGAGCTCCGTTTATAATGAGCTCGGTGAGCTACCCTGGTTCGTCAGTGACGTGGGTGGTGGTCGCCATTGAGTTTGGAGTCTGGGCAAGTCCTCCATTGGTGCGAACACAAGGTTTGCCTTTCAAATAACAAACATTGCCGCAATGAACCACCTCAAGAACAAATTATCGGCGGCGTCATACAGAGAACACAAACAATAGGAGGCACTCAAGAGAGACGACTTCCTGCCAATTATTCTTAGACCGAGGCCAGCATACTGCATTAGATGGCAATTTCGCTCAAACACTTACTGTTTTCTATGCGATCCGAGAACGTCTGGGCATAATCCACGTGAAAGTCAGCAAGTACACCATTTCTGAAGCACAAGATACAGATGTTCTTGGAGTAGTTCAAGATCCACTGAAGAATGCTGTACTGTATTACTCTAATACATCACCTCAGGACCGCGGTCCTCTATGGAAGATGGACAAGCTGCTCAAAGCATGCTGATCTGGTGAGATGCGACTGAACTGTTATACACCTGCTTCCTCACTCTGGCGGCATCCTCGGGTGCCATCGTATCAAGCAGCGCTTCAAGCTTGCTGCACATCCCTTCGCGCACTTCTTTCATCCTCTCCACTGTCGCCTTCCTCTCTTCCGGAATCTTGGGCAACGGCGGAGCCATATGTCTGAACCAGTCTAAGCGGGAGTTTGCCAGCCACTTGAGCGTCTCGGGATACTCGCTCAACCGCATGGTATTCTGATAGTTCAAGAGCGATATTGCGATCCAGTCAACGCCATGATTAGGATGAGGAATTGGACGGGAGAGGTAATTCTTCGTTTTGGTGTCGGAGTATGTTGCTTCAAGATGTGCGATGAAAGCAGCACTAAATACTTGCTGGCAATACCGGACTGACTGGAGAGTTATCAAATTCGTCTGGAATACTGGCACAGCGTCTCTTTGAGCGAGGCCATCGGCAGTACAATCAATCCAAAGTGTGTCTCTGTCTGGGGCATAGGAGCCACGCTCTAGTGTCACTTTATCCTGGTCAATTTGGAGCACTCGGCCTTGTCGAATGATATGTTTGATCTGCTTGAGGGCCGCGAATTCCTTCCGCGAGACGGTAGCACAACGGAACATGGTTGGCCAAACATCCTCTGATAAGCGCATCAGCTGGCCAGCTTCCGAAAGTCGCTGTAGGAGGTCGTCAACAGTCGTTGCAGCGTGGATGGCTTTGGCTTGGTTGGGAACGAGCGAGTAACGCCACTCTGCGAAAATGTCCCCCGCCTGATGGTAGCGGCGGTCCACGAGCCATTGATCACGAGGCATGATCCACGAAATGGCAGAGGGCTGAACACCGATCCCAAGTAGCCAAAGGCATGCATCGATGCCCGTCTTGCCTGCGCCAACAACCGTATAGTTGGAGTAAGGTCTGGACTCCACTGGCATGGTATTGGGTGTCACAAGTTTGACTCCTTCACCGATTCCGTACTGTGGCGGACCCATCGACGGAACCTTAACCTTCATGTATGTTGCATCAACAATGCAAGTCGACTCGGTCGCTCGATATGTCTTGCCAGTGACCAGAGATCTGAACCTGCCATTGCCAGCATATTCGCACTTCGGATAGTATGCCACCCTGCCCGAGGGCAAGAAGGTCTGGTGCATGACCTGATCGAAATATGCGCAAAGTTCGTGTGCAGACGCGAGTTCGAATAGTCCTTCATTCCAACCTTCTCTGTCAATCGTGTCCATGCCGAGGGCCCTCGAATTCACACCATAGAAGTTTGAGGGCTGATGCAGTCGAACAAAGGGATAAGCTGTAGTCCAGTGTCCACCAGGCTGAGGGTATCGATCCACGATGGTAATAGTAGCTTTGGAGTCCGTGAGCATGGTGTCTACAAAAGCCATTCCCATAGCTCCTGCCCCGATCACCAGGTAATCAGAAGAGACGATTTCTTCGGTCATGTTGGGCGAGGTTTTTGCTACCAGAGCGCGTTCTGCAACGGAAAGGAAATAGCACTTGGACTTTCAGGAAATGCACCGGTTGAGCTTTTGTGCCATGTCGAGCCGCATCCAACCTGGTTTGGGCCTACTAGACTCAAGGCTCACCTGGGTACAAATCAGCGGTCTGTGAACCCTGTCCTGGTATGATACACCTTGTTGCTGAACACAATTTGCTTGCTTGACGTTCACCTAATCTTGCTCACTTGTTGTTCACCTAATCTTGCTTGTGCCGAGGGGTATGCGCTGTCCAGCCACAACCACTTCCAAGCCGATTTGATGTTCCCATGGCTCCCAAGGCGGATGCTCCAACAGTGAGGTGACCGACGAACATGTTCAATGTCAGTATTGTCGACTTTGGAGTGCTGAGATCTTGCGCAAAGAAAAGCTGTATTTGAAGAGTCTCGCGTTTGGATATGGACTCTTAATCCGAGCCTGACCTGGGACTCTTCACGTGTAGATGGAGTTCGAGTGTTCCATCCAGCATCTGCGCCACGAGATGAGGCTTTTCATAACAGGAATGTAATACCTAACAGGGTTATGGCACCGTCGGCCAATGCGCTTACTCAGCAGCTTTCATGAAATCCATCGCAAAGTCTGCAAACGTCTGCTGCACTCTCGGCGGCTCCGCTGGGCCATACACCCTCCGATCGAGCTCCATGGCAGCATTCGATTGCACTGCACGGCATTCGACAAGACCAGGCTTTCCGACGGCTCTTCCCAAGACCTGCTGAATACCGACAAGTCTTTTCAACGTGTCCAAGACCACTCCACCGTGTTCAAAACTCAGCACAATGCTACATCGTATGGTGACCGCAGCCAGCCATTTACGACTCTCATCTTCCTCGCCACCGGGCTCTCTCTGAGAATTGACACCCACCGAATCAGGATTCGCACAAGCGCCAGCAATCAGTGTGATGAAGAATAGAACTCCTGCCATGTGGCCCCAGCAGTCACTTAGGTTTGATGTGACAAGAGCTTTCTGGACCAAAGTGTGCCAGCTTAGGCTTCCAATGTCGTCGTTGTGTAAGTGGTCGGAGTTGAGATTACAGCTTCCCGTGTTACCATTGTAGACACGGCTTAGTTGAGCTGATGCAGCAGAAAAAGGGAGTCTAGTCGCCAGAGCATGGGAGTAGACGAGAGCAGTGAGCCGCAGCGACTCATATTGTGATCGCGTGTGCGCCGAACTGAAGGACTTGGCGATCTTGCAGGACGAAGGGAGAGCGAAAATCCTTTCTCGCAGAGAACAGACGCTGTCGAGTTCTGCGTTGAATCCCGAGTCGGGCACCAGCCTTGTAGTTTCTCGGACGAAAGCATGCGTCAGGCGGCGGAGGAGCTGCAGGAGCTCGAATGTCGGGCTTGATTCTTGTATCGCCCGCTTCACGCTTTCATAGCCCGTCGGCCGAGTGTACAAAGGGGACTCTGGTATTTGCCCGGATGCGTGAGGTACTGAAGTCCGCGGCTGGCTCGCATGTTTCACATACTCAAGCCGTGGTTGGGTTTCACGAAGTGCACCAATCACGTACATCGTAATGGTGATAATGCTCGCCAGCTGTCCATCGAGGCCCAATTTGCTTAGACCTCCTCTCTGACCGACAAGATCGTGCAAACCATTCTGATGTATCTGCATGATCTGATCGTCACAGCCCATCATCTCGCTGTTTAAAACCTGTAGAATGGCAATGATTGTGCCATCTGTGCTCTGCGTCTCGGGATCTGCTAGGGCCTGGTTGATAAGAGCCAGGACTTCCGACCTGACCTTCAGCCTTGCTGTAGAGCCATATGGAAGACGCTCGTGCGGCGCTTGTTGGCCTCTCATCATGATATCGTCATGTGAAGCCGAAATGCAGATTGTGCTCAAAAATGCGTGTCGCGATTTGAGCAACGTTGGCACCCAGTGCAGACTGATCCCGCGAGTCCCAAATTTGCGACTGCAACTCCATTTGAGCTGTTCAACATTCAGCGAAGGATCGTTCAGCGTCGGCCAGCATGCAAATGGTTGTATGTTGCTGCCAATATACGAATTGGGACCAGGGATCTTCTCCATCGATGCTCGCAGGTACCGTGAATTATTGAAGCCACCTGCGATCCCTCGGATGAGGGGTGCTATATCGTCGGCGAACCTGACCGGCTTTGGCATCAAGTCTTGCTGAGTTGATGGCATTCGGGCTGCCCGGGACACAGCGACATTGCTCTCTATTGATTGCAGTGCTTGATCACTGGAGCACGAATTGCGTACTGAGCGTGTGCGATCTGCAGATGAAGTATTGTGGGGGCAAGGGTTAGCCTTGCTTGGTGCAGCGCTATCAGTTGTCACTGCTGTAGCCACACTCGACCGCTTCCGCTTTCTAGAATTTCCAGATTTGGTGATACGGATGTCTTTGCTCGTCGGCTTCTGCCGTTCCTTGTCGAGGTAATCATGCATAACATGCTGGCGATTGGCCTTGAGTTGAGTCTTGTCCTTGAGCTTTTTCGGATCGTCGACCACGAAGAATCGTAAGGCTGTTGATTTTGCAGTGGGCTCACTTGCTGTCTGCAGGGCTGTGACAATCGACTTTCGCGGCCTCACAGGGACACAAGCTTCGGGCGATGCGCTTGATGCGACGTAAGAGCTGCCAGGTGTAAGGTACTCGCGTCCATTACTCGCATCGGAATCTGTAAACAGCATCGAGCTGTTGCTGAAGGGTGAATCTACCCGTAGGAGTGTCGATTCCCATGTCTCTGGCACGCCATACGAAGCGGTGGGCATTGCAGCGGGAGCACTCGAAAGTAACGGAGCCATCAAGGAGTCGTCCTCAGGCGCAACACGCCTTTAATTCTTACTAGATCTTGATATCTTCTTGTTCACAATACACTCCCGTATAGGGTTTCCACTGGCCGACAAAGATTCGCTTGGTGTCCAGAATAGCCGTGTCGACACAACTAGTGCCTTCGCACGTGGCTACTCGCTGCTGCCGTTGTCACGCTATCTCTGATATTGCTGCTCGATCTTGTGATAAGACGGCGAGTTGAACGCAATTCTTAAGGTCGGCCAGAAATGGCGCCGAGGCTGACAGGCGAGTGTGGGCTGGAAGCTGCAGCGATAGTGTGATAGTGGCTTGAAGTTCACTCCACGCTGAAGGTTCCTACGCTGACTGCCGGACTTGCTGGGCGAATACTGAAGGAGGAAGGTGGGAAGGTGGTGTGTCTTGCGAAGAAGCATCATGTAGGATTGTCTTCATTTTGTACATTCTGAAGGCGCTGCTTGCTGCATGCCCGGCAAGCATCCTCTCCGTGCTACAGCATGGGTGCGACTGAAGCTGTGGTGACCAGCTTGACCGGTCCGCGCAGTATGCAATGGCCAGGCCGCACAGAGTAGGCGAAGCCTTGGTGTCACACCGATAGCCGTCTGCGCGGACTCGATGGGCGTCAGTGAGTGAGATGGACAAACTGGCGGTGCGTGCCTGCATGAACCTGAGGCTGAGCCTGGTGGGGCCATCTCTTTTCGCGTCCGATTGCCGCCCCCAAACGGTCCACGGTGAAGGGACGTGGATACAGTGAGCGAGCAGTACATTTGACCGACAAAGGCTCCAGATTGCTGGCGCAGCAGTAGTGGTTCCATCGATGCGCTGACGTGCGTATAGCCCTATAGCGTCCAATCTGGCAGTCTTCAGAGCATCATGAGCATGGAGTAGTTAGGGCTGAAGGTAGGAAGCTCTGGCCGAGGCAATCACGTGTCAACGCGATAATGTCGCGACGTCCGCGCTTCGAGCATCATCAACAACATCTCTCCCACCACACGACAAGCCATGTCATGGACAACATTCTGCAGGGCCTGAATCCTGCACAGAAGGATGCCGTGGCCTCTGACAGCTCCGTGCTACAGGTGCTGGCACCGCCGGGCTCGGGCAAGACGAAGACTCTCACAGCACGCGTCGCGTACCTGATCGCGCATCGCGGATTGCAGCCATGGAACATCATCGTCTGCACATTCACCGTGAAAGCGGCGAGTGAGATGAAAGAACGAATCACGAGCTTTGTCGGACCAGAGTTGGCGAAACAGCTCAAACTGGGCACTTTCCATTCGGTGGCGTTGCGATACCTCAATGCCTACGGACAACACATTGGTCTGCCGAAAGACTTTGGAATCGCGGATACCTCGGACACAAAGGCCATCTTGAAGCGGCTCATCAAGCAGCTTGGACTCTCAATTGAGCCCGGTCCAGCTCTCGGTCGAATCTCGTCTCGAAAAGTCAAAGGCGAGCCGACGAAGAACGCGCCGAAAAGTGTTGATCAGCAAGAATTCACGCGACTGTTTGACGAATATGAGGCGACGCTGGCAGCCTCAAATCTTCTCGACTACGACGACATTCTGCTACGATGTTCATTCTTGCTCAAAAGCCACCCGCAATGTGTGGCGAATGTGCAAGCTGTCTTGATCGATGAGTTCCAAGACACGAACAACATCCAATATGATCTGATGACACTCTTCGCGCAGAGACATAATGTCATCACGATCGTCGGCGATCCTGATCAGAGCATCTATGGCTTTCGAGCTGCCGAGATCAAGAACTTGTCAAGGATGAAAAAGCAATGGCCCGATACCCTTACAATCAATCTCGAAGAGAATTATCGATCATCCGGCGCCATCTTGCATGCTGCACAGAATGTCATAGAACAGGATGAAAGCCGCCCACCGAAGAAGTTGCAGGCAACACATACCTTCGGCTTGCGTCCAGTGCTGCGGAAACTGCCATCAGCCACTGCGGAGGCGGACTGGTTGGTGTCAGAAATCAAGCGGACTCGTTGTATTTCTGGGAACATGATGGATCTCAGCGACTATGCCATCTTATTACGATCAGCAGCGCTCTCGCGGGCCATAGAGACGGCTCTGGGCAATGCGGGACTTGCTTATCGCATGGTGGGCGGTTTACGATTTTATGATCGCGTCGAAGTGAAACTCGTAGTTGACTACCTGCGAGTAATTCATCAGCCTGACAATAGCGAAGCGGTGGAACGAATCTTGAATGTGCCTTCGCGACATATCGGAGAGACTACCATCAAGAAGTGGCGAGCAGAGGCGCAAAGCAAAGCCACGTCTCTGTGGTCATTGATACTGGGCATTGCTCAAGGGCGGCATAAGTCGGAGACTAAGATCATGGAGAAGACATTGAAAGGACTTTCAAGTTTCGTGGATGTCATCCTCAGTGGTCGCAAAAAGGTGGAGTCGTGGACACTCGAGAAAGACGCAGCGCCATCAGTGGTGGACCTGATCAATCTGATCTCGCAGAAGATCAAGCTGCAGTCATATCTGAGGGACAAGTTCCAGGCGGAGGAGACCTTCGAGGCACGCTGGACCAATGTCGAAGAGCTCATGGCACAAGCAGCGGAGATCACCAAGCCTGAAAGCCTGGCACAGGTTGTCGAGCTGGACGGCCTGCCAGTACTTGATGATATCGAACAACGACTGGACACAGACCAAGACCTGCTGTCAAGCTTTCTTGACAACATCGCTTTGACAGCATCTGCGGAGAAGAAGGCAGATGACGAGAATGAAAAGGTGCAACAGATCACAATCTCGACCATACACGCCGCAAAAGGCTTAGAGTGGCCTGTGGTGTTCATTCCTGCATGCTACAATGGCTCCATACCACACTCACGTGCTGACGACAATGATGAGGAGCGTCGTTTGCTCTATGTCGGTATGACGAGAGCGCAGGCTCTGCTATATCTGAGCTGCCCCGTTAAGAACACCCAGCGTGAGACGACCGACATGTCCTCTTTCCTCACCCATTCAGGGGTGGGCAGTTTCTTCGAAGAGCATGGCCCAAGTCTGCCTACGGCAGCACTGACGAGTTTATCGATCACGCTGAGGAAAGAATGTCCCGACGAGGCGAAGCTGGCTGAGGTGAGAAAGACACTGGAGCGTGATGAAGACAACTACTGGCCTCTGAATGGCGAGGAGCCTGCCGAGGAGCTCTCAAAATGGAACCGTGCGAAGCCTGGCCAGTCCTTCTCTCATGCCGGGTTCGTAACGGCGCAAACGCACACAATGACATCCGTGCAGCAAGGATTCTCCACTGCAACAGCAACAATGCCCGTTCAGCAAGGTTTTGTCAGCGTGGCTGCGCGCTATGACGAACTCATGGAACAAGCACAATTGCGGAAAGTCGAAAAGCGAATCGAACAGAAGCAACACCAAGATAAATTCGAGAGTTCAACGTCAGCATCAGCATCCGCGGCTGTACCCAAAGGCCGAAAACGGCAGATCGCTGGCCAAGGCAGTATCGCGAGCTTCTTTTCGAATAGCAACAACACTGGCACTGGACCGGCTGCTTTGAAGAAACAAAAGTCCAACGCCTCTGTCGAGGAAAGCGATGCTGTACTTGATATCTCTCATAAGTCGACGGCTTCAGCGACCACGAGCGCGAGACCTCAACCACTGCGTGAGATCTCGAACATATCGGATACTCGCAGCACATCTGCCGCGGCAGCAGGCTTCATGACCGCCAAGCAAGGCGGTCTACCAACGCACAAACCACGCTCGACACCAATGTTCACCAAACCTGCTTCTTCGATGCAGACAGGTCGAGGACGACAACGGCAGAACCACGAGAACAACGACTGTACCCATGATGAAGACGATGATGCGGTGCAGAAAGAAGAGACATACGTCTTCTTGTCGAGTTCACCTGCAAAGCCTGAACCGGATCATGATACCAAGGTTTATTCAACGACAGCGTCGAAAGCAGAACATGGGAGCAAGGCAGGCGGGTACTCCGAGTCTTTCCAGCCTGCGAGTACACTCCATGCAACGTCCATGAGCAATTTGGCCGCTAAGAGCGCACTATCGCAGCAGCAGAGAAAGACTCTGGGCGTCCGGAGAAGCATGAATGGCTGGGCTGCGAGGATGAATAGATAGATGGCACATGTCGCCGGTCAAGAATGGGGACGGCAGAACGAGGCGATGGCTCAACAGTACATTTGCTCTTGCATGTCTATAGAGACCATATGGTAGTATTATCGAAATTACGAAAGATGCATTGCCGTCCTAGGAGGTACCCAACGCGTGATCTGTGCGCTATAATGCTGACGCTGCAATACCTGCCCGTTGCCTGTGATTTTGTCAGAGCGCTCAACTGGATGACGGTGAGGGTATCAGAATCAGCAAATGCGCCTGAATGTCGCTCTTTCACGTTCATATCACGAGACTCGTCTGCTGAGGGCAAGTGTAACATACTCATTCTCAATGATTTCATTTCACACTCCCACATCGCTCGGAACGCTATACACTGTACACAAAGTTGACGTTCAGATAATCAGGTCCGCCAGTCCACTTGCATCCTGCCTGGCAATCTGTTGTCTCCTGACCCTTCCCCCACTGAAAGTTGCTTCGTAAGCCCTTTGGAAAGCAGCGATAGCCTGCAACATAGCTGCTTCCTCCTCTTCGGCGCTTCCGAGCTGTACCTCCACCTCTCTGGAAAGATTCCCTCTCCTGACGTAATGTTTGCCCTCTGCAACATACCAGGAGTTTGCGGACTCTTGGACTTGTCTTTCGGCGAAAGCTTTTGTGTCAGGCCAGGGGCACGGACTCGGTGTGTCTAGATGCGTCCTATTCGTTTCGTCCAGTGACATCGCGCCTTCGAGGTGATCCTTGAGCTCATCGCACTGTGCATACAGTGCTCGAATGAGCTTCAGGAGGTCTTTGCCATATGATGAAAGCCTTTGAATGCAGGTGATGATTGGCAATGCGGCCGAGCAGACAGAGTAGATAGCGGAGATGACACATAAAGCCGATGGCTGTCCATCGAGGTCGTTCCGTGAAAGGACAGTATCGCACTGGCCTTTGAAGCTTCGCAAGATAGCTGTCAAGGTAGCGACCGTAGCTTTCAGGCTGGAGTCAGAGTCGATATCAAAGTTGTATAGCACATCTCGAACGACGAGTTCGCAAGCCTGCAGTAGCGGGAGTGAGAGCATCCATCCAGGTGGCGAGCTGAGAGCTATATCGAAGTACGCTGGAAATATGCTTGTCAGCAGCACATATCGTAGCGTTGGCGCACTGCTGTCGCCCGTCTCGGGCTCGTCAGACATGGCTGTCGCTATCTGACTGACGAGATATTGCTGTTGTCGATCCACCACGGCGCGTTCGATGACGGACTGCATAAACATTGTCAACTCTCTTCGCGGGCCAGATTCAGCGAGCTTTAGAGCGTAGCCCTTGAGCTTGCCGACCACATATGTCGGATCCGCTGCTGGAAGAGGGAAAGCACTCGAGTCGGTGAAGAACTTGTCCACAGGACAAAAGTCGGCAGTGTGCTGTTGCAAGAATGAGACCACCTGTTGAACAAACTCCACGTAGGCACCTTGTACGCTGCCCTCTGCGACATCAGCGCTACCATTAGCCTGCAACTCCTGGTAATTGTGTTTCATGGTCTGCATCAAGCGACGAAGCATCTCTGTGTATCGGGTCCGGACACATTGTGCCTGGGTAGGAACATTGTGTCTGACCCGCGTTAAAGCACGCCGCATGTTGTTTAAGGTTGATGAGATCAAAGTCAGTCGCCGCTGCCGTAGGTCCTCCAACGAGATGATATACCGCCCACTTCGAACGTCTCTGGCAAAGGGGAGATTCTGTAGCAACAACTCGGATTCACAGCGGTTCAGGAGTGCGCTCGTTAAGCTATGCTGAAACTTGAGTAATGCCTCTCGTTCTACGAGGGACAACAGCCAGCTTGTGATGATGCTTTCGAGCGCGGCATCATCGACGTTCGGCTGCTCTACAATGCGCGACATGTAGTACGGCGTGAACTTCCGCTTTTGCTTCGTGTCGCGCATTTGTGTCCAGCTGTTGGGCGAGTAGTCATCAACGTAACTCAGCCAGCTCTTTTCGCCATTGCTGACCAGATCCCTGCCCATGCGAATCCAGATGCGAACGACGTGCTCCAGAAGCGTATCGTCAGGGGGCACGTCTGCGCCGAAAATGTTTGACAAGAAAGAGCCGACGTGTGCCTGAAGATCTCTGGCGGTTGTTGCAGGCAATGACGAATCTGCCTCATCAGCCCCGACAAGTTCATCGAGAGCACTAAAGTCTCCGAAGTCTTGACTGTCGTTGCTAGTGATCTGACTCTCTCCTGATGCGGCCAGTCGATGCGCAGTGTCAAAGGCGGCGTCAATGACATGCAGGGCTTCCTTCACTGTACTAAGCAAGCGGCGCTGTGAGGTATCGAAAAGCTCAAAAATCGTCCAGAAGTTGGTATCTTGCATTAGCTTCTGCATCACAACAACGCTGGAAGCTGCACTGACTGCTCTCTTGAGTCCAGCGAGGGCAGTAGCGAGGGTTGTTGCAATTTGCAGTTGGTTGTTGGCAATGGTACCGTGCAAGAACGCTTCGCCAATATCTGCTCCCATGCCTCTTGCATGATGGAAGTCATGCTCGGCCTCAGATCTGGCGAGCCGGTATTGCATGATCGTCAGTCGCAGTATCTCCGAGAACCAGACGGTCAGGGGCTGTAGTTTTCCAGCAGGTTCCTGAGTCGAAGCCTGGAAGACAGTGAGCATAGTCCATGCGTTGACGTTCAATTGACATGCTTTGCGATGCCAGTTGGCGTGGTCTACGAGGTTTCTGAGTATATCAACGCCAGGCCGATATCCCGGAGGCGAGGCATAGTATAGAGTGCACAGAAGGTCATGATGGTTGCGAAGGGCATCGACATCGCTCTGCTGCATGTCCTTTTCCTTCGGATACGTGCGCCCATGGGTCGGAATCATGCGATATGTGATGCTGGAGCCGATCTTCCTATCATTGTATACACTTCGCTCGCGCATCGCCACCAGCCCTTTGACCAGTGTCTTGAGAAAGATGTGAAATGACAAGTCATCGGGCTGAATGTCCAGTGACGGCAAAAGATTGAGCTCCTCAAGGAATTGTGGCGAGCCTTTGCATTCCTCATTCTTCAGCAGCATTCGACTTTGTTTAGAGAAGAAGTCGTAGATGCTGTAGAGCATCATCTCGCACTTTGCCCACGGCCACTTGTCGACCAGCCTGTGACAGCGATGCAACAGAGTGCGCAAATATGAGTTTGCAGTGAAGCCCCGAACGTGGCTTGTGTTCTCGTAAAGCTCGAAGACTCGCTGTAGCAATTTGCGAACAATTGTCCAGTCTTCTTGTAGCGGCATGGAGTCAGGATTCCGCTCAACTACCCCTCTGGCATCGATGTATAATACAGGAAGCACAGTAAACAGGTTGTGCCAGACTCCGTCAAGGTCCTTGACGCTAATCATGCTGTGGATGTCCGAGTCCAGGACTTCCCCAATCGTCTGCCACACAGTAGAATTATGTCCAAGATGACGCGATGTGTGGGCGAGGATGATGATCGTAGTCGCGGCAGAGTGTTCGATACAGTCTTCGGTCGTTCGCATTACCTGGCACCAGTTTCGAAGGACATCGAAACTGCCCGCTAAAGCGTGCTTTGCGAGAGATTTGGCGGACCCTTCTAGAAGTCCCAGTAATGGTGGCCCAGTTTGCCGATGCACGTTCGGTCTGGCATTGATCTGGACCGCCTGAGCCGCTAAGACAACCTGATACTGCATGACAAGTGAGAATGTATCATGCATGAGTGCAGCATCGGCATGACATTCTGCAATGGCTTCCGCCAGCTCCCCAATGAGGCGTTGAAGACTTTGAACGCATTCATCGCGATCGACTGGGTCCTCGAAGTACAAGCACTTGGAGCAGTACCGTACAACAGAGCGCAGAAGGTAGGCAATTGACTCATTCACCTCTGCAGGAATGCTTGCCCCTGCTGACCCAGCATGGCATTTACTCAATGCTTCTCGGATCACCGCAGGTATTCTTGAGAATGATGTGGCGACTTCCTCGTTCCAAGCTGACCATGAAACGATCGATCGGTCCAAGTGTACGCTGATGTGATTGCGCGGAGAATCTAGGCTTAAAGATGCCAGATTTATCGCATCGTAGAAGTCACCACTCCCAATGAAGCTGTCTGGTCCAAACAAGGGTCGAGGCGGCAACTGCTTGACGTCGAAATCAACAGGATAACCAGTTCCGAACGCACCTAGTCCTTGGAGCACAGGTTTCGAGATGTCAGTCACGGGCTCTACTTCGACCACGTCTTCTACGAAGTCAATGACCGCATCGTCGCCTTGCCAATGCTGATGCTCTTCGACCTCAAGCTTTCGAGCTTGCCGCTTTCTTCGCCTGTGCGGGAGCAAAACTTTTGGTTGTTCGTCCGATGCTAGCGGTATATGATCAGCTGCAGCAAGGCTGTCGTGTTCAGTTGTAGGTGATATGCTGTCTTCTTGCGCAAAGTATTTCGCAAGCTGGAAATCGGTAGTATGAGGTCGTCGCCCGCGCATAGCAACACTCTCAGTCAAGCACTGCATTCGACGCTCAAACACAGCTGCTCGATGGCGCTCATCAAAATCATGCTGTAATGACTCGAGCTGCACTGGTCGCAAGACAACTGGCCGTGAAGGCACAACTGCTCGTCTTGTTGGTTGAGTGACATCTGCTCCACTACCTGAAGGTCGCCGGACTTGTGGTGTGCCGCGTGCGCGTTGCGTTTGGCGCATACTTGTTTTCCGGGCATCATTACGCCGCGTTGCCATTTTCCGAGCGGATGGTAAAGCATGCGGCTGGTCCGCATTTCCAGAAACTACTCTCAGAGGCTGCCGCTCAGTCATTGGACTCGGTAATGCATCTCCGGCGTCTGCGTCGCCATGAGAGTGATCTCCTTGAGGCTGCGTATGAACTCCATCTTGTCGAGGTGCCAGGGTGCCGTCTTGCCATGAACGCAGGACCGACATAGCCTCGCGAGTATCGTCGGCGGTCGCGAGGTGGATGATCTTGTTTGATGGCGAATGTCGACCTCGATCAGGGAGCCTCTTTGCCTGCCTCTTTGCAAGACGAATAAATGGTGGCATGCCGGCATCCGACGACGTTGTGGGACTTGCAGCATCAGCAATGCTCAACCGTACAGTGGCACGCCGTGGTTTCTTCGATGTCCTCGCTTGTCCCCCTCTCATACCACGAGCATTACCGCTTTGCTTGCGCGTTTCCCGCTCCCCTGAGAATATGTCTGCATTTCCTGCACTTTTTCGAAACTTGTCGGTGATGCGTGGCTGTCGGGATTTCGTTTTTTCGGCTTTAGTTGAACGAGGACGGCCAGCCAGCATTGCATCTACAAAATCGCTCTCCATGGTATCATCATCGACGGTCTCGCTCGGAGCAACGGTAAGACGATCTGCATCGAATGCCAAGTGCGACTGTTTCGGCTCTGCACGTATGAACTGTATTGAATCATCCGAATCACCACCATCATCAGACAACATGTTCACGGCAGCGGCATCGTTAGCTTTCCGGTGAGTTGACGTGATCTTCTGCGCAACACCGCGCTGTGGTGTCCAGCGCTCAGGTGAGGTCGAGCTGACCCGATGCCCTGTCAGTAGTGCAATCGGTTTGGGTTTTTGTGCTTTGAAGTCGATCCTCAGCCACGAAGCAGGTAGAACGCCTCTGATGCGCTTTTGCTCGCGACGCAATCGTCGTGCTAGCACCTCGCTTTCCGACTCGGCCTCTGACCCAGACGTCGCCCGTTCCTCGGCGCTCGACAAAGCATCAGGGCTGTGTGTTCGGTTGCGTGAGCCGCGAGGTCTCGAAACCGATTCTGTGGAGGCATTCTCGTTGATTTGACCTTTTTTGACTTCGGACGAGAAATGTGGCGTTGGTAGCGGCGCAGGGCTCAATCCACGAGGACGCTGAAAACCAGAAGCTGTCTGTTGCATAGGCTGTCTCAGTGGTCCTGGAGTGCTAGTCTCGCTCGACGTTTGCGGAGGGGATGGAGGAACTGAGAAACTGTCTCGTTGAGTACCAAGAGTTGAGCGTGTTGGATCCAGCATATCAAGTCTGGCAGAACGACCTTTCCCTTGACTAATCCTTCTTCGCTTGGCCGCACGTTCGGTAGCAAACTCTGCAACAGATTGCTCTTTTCTGAGTGAAGCCAGCCTGACGTAAGCCTTGGGCCGTGAGTTCAAGGCGTCGTCCAGTCCTCCTGAGCTTGATGACTGTGGTTCAACTGGCGATTGCTGGCTACTGTCGAGCACTTGGCTTTCCTCCTCCGGCGCTTCTGCGTCAATGAGACGCACTGGCTTGATACCACGCTCCTTGCACTGTCTCTGGTACTTAGCTTTGTCGATCAGGTACGGATGCAGTTGGATTTCCTTCCGAGCTCGCAGACTTCGTCGTCCGGTCGTCGTTTCTGATTGTGTGTGAACGAGCATGGAGTTTCGCAGTATCTCATCGTGAACTGCGTTCTCATCTTCCAAGCTTCCGGAGACTGCCTTAGCCTTGTTGACCACAATCTGCCCATTACGCTGTTCAAAATATGCCGGTGGCGAGACTTCGCGTTCACTCAAAGGTGACGAGGGTGCAGCTGATGGGAGTCTTGGTTTTGCAGCTGCGAACAGCTCTCGCGCATCGGGAAGACTTTCTTGACTGCTGTTTTGTGTCGAGCTGACGTTGTCGCCGAAGATCAACGACGTGGACGCGGGCCTCACTGAAGACGAGTCCTTTTGACTGGTCGGAGCCGGAGACCTCTTCGAAGCTGGCGTGGGGGCTGCAGAAGGTTGTGGACTGATCGTGCGCGTCTGTTCGTGCGTCGTCCTCGTTGCAAGAATGGCTTTGGATGCTTCGCCTTGAGAGGCAGGGATTTGTCCTACAATGCTGTTTGGAGCGGCCGCTTCTGGAGCAGAGTCTGGGCTCCCGAAGTCCGATCGCTCTCCAGAAGATGGCGGCCCACCTTGCGATGGTGAATTCGAAGCTTCGCGCTTTGAGGCTTTCGCCGGGGTCGCTCGAGTTCGTCGTGATGGCCGTGTTAGCTTCCCTTTTCGTCCATAGGTGTTTGCCACCTTCGCAGGCAGCCACGCGATCTCGTCCTCGTCGTCGGCGCCATCTTCGATTGCAAAAGGCGCAACGGAGTTGTCCTGGGCATCGGCCGCATCTTCTTTCTGCCTCACGCGTTTTATAGGTCGTTCCGGGCTTGGAGAAGATAGGTTCAGTTCGAGTTCATCGTCTTCAGAATCCTCCACCTCGCCACAATCTTGCCACCGCTTCATTTGACTGTGTAAGCATGTCTATCGATGTTTTGTAGCATGCTCGAACGTCGAAATGCGAGCTGTCGTTTGCAGAGTAGAGACACGCACATTTGAAGAGGTCGAAAGACGCGACGACGCGACTTGGGGCGTTGCAAGGGTCCACCGTCCACCAACAGCGCCAAGACAAAGTGACGCAGCCAAAGGACAGAAGGCAACACCACCCAGACACGAGACAGACCAGCTGGCCAGGACGGTACCGATCTTTCACCCCATATCGCTGTGATTTCAGCTTCCGCCGTGTCCTCTCGTTACTGAAACTCGACCACTGCACCCTCACTATGGCACAAGACCCACGAGCGCTGCTGCAAAAGGTAGACCCCTCGGTATCGCCATCCCACCTCTTTGGCTAATCAGGTGGGTGATCAGGCAGAGAAACAAGCGCAAGCTGCCTCCGGAGGCTTCTCCTTCTTCGGCGGCAAGACACAGAAATTGGAAGAGGCCGCCGAGTTGTACACACAGGCCGCGAACGCATTCAGACTACAGAAGGATGGCAAAGCAGCGGGGCAAGCGTTCGAGCGCGCGGCGCAAATACAACAACAGAAACTCAACGAGCCAGATGATGCCGCCAACACCTTGACCGAGGCATACAAGGCTTACAAGAAAGACGAGCCAGAGGATGCGGCGCGGGTACTTGAACAAGCAATTCAGCACTACACAACGAAGGGCAACTTCCGAAGAGCAGCCACGCATAAGCAGAACTTGGCGGAGCTGTACGAGATCGACCTGGGAGACGACAAGCGGGCGCAGGAAGCATACGAGACTGCAGCAGGCTGGTTTGAGACAGACGGTGCTGAGCAGTACGTACTGCTTAAACATACAATACCAATGTTCGTACTAACACTGCTACAGACTCGCCAACAAGCTGTACCTCAAGCTCGCAGACCTCGCAGCCCTCAATGGCGACTATCTCACAGCGATTTCCAACTACGAGCGCATCTCCAAATCCGCCATCAACAACAATCTCATGAAGTGGTCTGTCAAGGAGTACTTCCTCAAAGCCGGAATCTGCCACCTCGCCAACAACGACAATGTCGCTACGAAACGTGCCATCGAATCCTACCGCGTTCTCGACCCGGCCTTTGAGCAAACACGAGAACACCAACTACTCGCAGATTTGGCCGAAGCTGTGGAGGAAGGCGACCAGGAGAAGTTCGCGGACAAGCTGTTCCAGTATGACCAAATGTCAAAGCTGGACAAGTGGAAGACGACGCTGCTGTTGAAGGTCAAGGACAATATTCAAAGCCAGGAGGAAGACTTTGCATAGTCGAATGCTGGGGCGCGGGCGCGGGCGTTGGTGTTGGGCCAATATGCCGGGCGGAGTAGTACCGTTAGAGCAAGAAACCAGATACCCTTTCACGACATATTTGCGGCTGCAGTCGTTTGGCCTGTGTAGCGCGATCTTGTGTCTTATTCGACTTCCGTGTTTCCAGTCCGGTGGCAGAGGCGGGCAAGCTTGTGCATTCTCTATGCTTCACTTGCCATTCTCCTCTTTACGCTCCGTAACACCAGATGCTGCTTTTCCAGTATTGCCGTCTCCATTTGTCTTGGTCGCAGGCTCACCAGAAGACCAAAACCACTGCCTTATTCCCCACGCAAAGCCTCCCCGTCCTTGATCCTCCCCAATAGCCTGCTTCTTCGCCTCTTTCAGATCGCTGAGAATGGCCCTGCTCAATTGTGTATCTTTCTCTCTCGCATTGTCACCTTCAGTCCCATGCTGCGCCTCGAATGTCCCAGCCTTTCTCTCCGCCTCTTCTTCCAGTGCTGGCACAAAGGTTGTGTAAGCTGCGATGAGATAGCATGTCAGTATCACAATCTTGACAACCTCGCCTCACGCGTTTCGCTAGAGATCAACGTGGTAGTCCAGTACGTACCAGTAGCGATTCCGCATACAGTCGCTAGCGCTGCGCCTGCCACATTCCCGCCTCGCATACTGGATGATGTGGAACGATGAATCGGAGAGTATGTTGTGAAAGCTCCATGAGCGCATGGACAATGGGATCATGCATGCGGCTAAGTTGAAAGTGGAGACTTTCGCGCTTTAAGGTTCAGCCGCATTGGATTCTCAGGCTTCTTCAGATGGAATGACAAGCACTATACCAAGATCAATTTTTTTTTCTACATCCTCAGATTCAGCAGGAGGAAGCTCATCATTGGCCTCAAAAGCGTTAGTGTGAGAAGTGATTGTTGCGAAGATGCTACCCAGATATGAACTGAAAGACAGTCGATTCGTGTATAGCGGTGATTGCGACTGATCTCTCTACAACGTATGCCCTCACAGCAACGCAGTCGCGTCCACGGCACTCTGTACGCGTCCGTTGTATTCTTACAGACGCGCTGATCATTATGCGTAACTCTCCATGATAGATTCATCCAGCAATGCGTGCAATATGCCGCGCCGTCTCTCAGCGGTTTCTAGCCTCCATGACTTCTGGTCAGAGACTCCGTCTTGCGTTCAAAGAACGCCTCGCCATGCATTAACGCTACACATGTCATGCTCTCAAATACCAAATATACGACGAGCAAACCCCTCAAGACGTCGGCTTAAACGTCAGTCCACAAGACTGCTGATGCTCATGCGATTGATCGGCCTTTCGGGCTTCCCACACTGCTCGTGCAAATGCACTGGGCTCGGATTCATCCTAGGATCTTGTGGTGAAACAGGATTCATGGGCTCCGAGGATGCGTTGCTCACTTGGCGAAGCTTGCTGGGACTCTGATGGACATTCGCCTCCTTGGATGTTTGTTCTGCATCAGCTGCCGTCTTGCTCACACCCAATGTCGACTTCAACGTGTTCTTGGGAGATGGTTGACGTTTCGACCTGCCTTTCGGTCCTTTCAGCCCAGCTTTCTTCGGTTTCACAACCGGCTTCGCCGCCCTCGGTTCTGGCTGCGCTGCCGGGAAATATTTGACGTTAGACTGCTTCTTGGTCTTTGCGACCACCGGTTTCTTGACGCCTTTCGCGCCTTGCGGCTTTTTCGCGGGTTGAGTGAGATTTGGGAAGTTGATTGCCTTCGCTATGGCCTTCTTCCCTGGCGAGCCTCGCGATGATTTTGTTGGCGTTAGAAGCCCACTGTCGATTGGTGTGTCCGCCTGATCCGTCATAACAGTGATATTGTCCTCCGTTTGTGAATCGCCCTCGATGCTTTGGACAACTGGAAGTCGTGGCATCGGCATTGGGCTCCAGTCAACAGGACCACGTTCCAAAGGCTTCTGTGGAGTCATCTCGCCAATTGCAGGAGGCTTGAAACTGTTGTTTCTATGCAAAGCAGAAGGTCGGGCCAGTTTCGGAGCGAATTTTGCGTTGTTCCTTGGTGGCAGTTGCACGCGCATTCTCTTAGCAGCCGTCTTCTTGGCCTCGTTCTCGCTGACCTCCGAATACTCCTCAGAGATGGCCGGCTCGTCCCACTTGCGCATGGCTGCGTGTCGAGCCACTTTGTCACAAGGGCCTTGCACGATGATGTCCCAACAGTCCTCAAGATCCTTGGAGATCGGTGGCGGGTCGCTGTTGATCCAGATCGCGACGCCGCCTCTTCTGTCTCGCACAGTAGCGCACATTTCGCGCACAATTCTTCGTACGCCGGGGACCTTCAGTGTCGTGCCAACCACAATAACCGCATCAGGTCGTTTCCGCAAATCGTCCTTTGTGACCGCTCCAATCGCCTCATCGTCCGGATTGTGCTCGTTGTACAGGACCATTCTCGGACGCATTCTGCCAATGCCGTGACTGCGCTTTCCCTCCACGCCCACCCTGATGTCGTTGACTTCTACACACCGCGGGCACGTTGGCGGGACAGGTCCATCGAACAAGCTTGGATCAAGGTCTGCCAAGTCGTGACATTTCGAGCACACCATTTTGTCGAGTCCGCCGTGCACTTGGACAGTGCGCGGCCATTTACCATCAGGGCCCTTCGCCAAAGGTATGGACGTCTTTAATGGCTCGAGTCCAGTGTCGATGCCGTCGACATTTTGTGAGTACAATCGAAGCAATCGATCTTCCTGAGCAATGGTTGCGAGCATGTTGTGAAATGCTGTAGGCTTGGCATCCTTGGTCAGACGCGACATGGTGTTGACCATGTCATGAAAGGACGAGGTCGACACGTCGTCTTTGTACACGGACGCGTCGAAAAGGTCTTTTCCAGAGCCTTTGAGGTTGTACTCTTCCTTGAGGCTGCGGAAGAGGCCTTGCGAGGAACGAAAATCCGGGACTGCGCGTTGTTGTTAGCAAAGGACGCGTCAATTGCGCTGCCGCACTGAGGTATACGCACTGCCTGCTGATACTGAGATGCCTGCGCCTGCAATGACCACAATCTTCTGGCGCCGATGGAGGACATTGACGAGGCGGTCGAGTTGATGTTGTTGGTCGGGACGCACTGTACTGCCGCGCAAGTCCAAGTGCTCGGTCGAACGCTCTGTTTTCTCTGATATCCTTCTGCGCTTTGCTGGTGGAGGGCCGTCTTTATCGGAAGACATGCCGCCATCTGGCGCAGGCGAACCGCTCTGCGAGGTTTGTTGACTGGCGGGGGGTGAGGGATATGGGGCGCGCGCCATGATGTCGGCGGACGGCGGCGACGGGCTCCGCGAGAGTTCCGAGAGAGGCGATGAGGAGCGGGACGAGGGAGGCGCACTGCTGAGGGGGGAGGAGGGACCCGGGTCGCTCAAGGACGCGGCCATGGTGAAGGTGTAGGGGCAGTCGGCGGGTAGGCGCAGTCGGTATGATGCGATGTGCAGAAGCAATGCGCCCGGCGCGAACAGGGGATGGAATGCACCAGCTACTGCGACAATCGCATCGTAAGGATGTCGCGCGATATTCTCGAGTCCAGTGAGCAAGGTCCGGCACGCGATTGCTGACGTTGGGCGAGGCACGCGTGAGAGTCGTGAAGAAGGCTGGTTGGAACGGTAGAACGACGTTAGTCGAGTTGTAGCCGGACGTGCTGGACACGGGAACTGCCGATTGTTATGATTGTAAACAAGAGGCCGACCACGTCTTCTACAAGGACAACACTGTGCTGCAGCAATGCGACAATGACTCTGCGGGCTTCCTGATGACAATACTGGTCGATCCAATTGTCTCGTAGCAGGCTCTATTCACCGTGGCAGGAGTGACGATACTGCTTTCCTGAGAATACTGTTCTTGGCGCGTAGCACAGATCCGGCGAGGTTTCAGCCTTGCGGCCATCCGGACACTCCAGCCGGGTGTCAAGCTTGACCATTTCGTAACTCCGCGCAGACCATTGTCCAGAGTCTTCATTTTCCAGTAGTACAAGACATCTCAAGGCCATCATCAACAGCCCCGATTGAGCTGGCTTCAGCCTCGTACTCGCAGCCATGGATGTGCCCAGCATGGACGACTCCGGAGCCATACCAGACGCATCCATGATGGACACCAATATGGACGATTTATTTGGCGATGCAGCGAATGATCTCGTAGCAGCGATGCCTGCGACACCATTGCCAGCACCTTTGTTCTTGCGGGTGGCAGAAATGCAGAGCCGTGGTTGCTGCACGTGAGTCAGTTGACCCCAGCAGCACGCTTCGTTGCGGTGCGGTGTTAACAACATGGTAGAAAGCTGGCTTGGTCAAATACCGGAAGCATAGCCCAAGTCACTCCTGATGGCTCTCATATCGCCTTTCGTGCCATGGTCCGGCATCGAAAGACTGGTGCCTGGACCATCAGCGAGCCCTCTAAGCACACCATCGAAGCCCCGTCGGGTCGTAAATTCGTCCACGTTGAGTTCAATGGGCTCGGTATAGAGCTTGCAGTCATTGACAGTGCCGGTGTCGTGCACATGCACACGCTGACTGGCGCGTTGAGCAAGATGATGCCGGCTGCCGGAGGTGAATTATCACGGAAGGGTGCAGCTCATGAGCTGAATGTGGTGGTTGGCCTGCATTGGCTGCCATTATTTCCAGCTGAGTTCAAAGTGAGCGGACGTGCGGAATTGAGAAATTCACTGAAAGACGACTAACTGGGATTCCAGGGACCGTACCTTGATGTGGCTCATAAGCACGGCGACAAGTGGGAAGCGCAAATAAAGCATCGAGACCAGAATGCTCTGAAACCCCGTCATCCGGCTGAAGGCCGACAAGCGTTGCTACATATCAGTCGCTCAACTGAGCTCACTCTTCTCTTTCAGAATGAAGGCAGTGGGTGGCAGTCCACGAGCGTGGTGCTTCACACGGCAAGGTCAAGCGACGACTACATCTCACATGCCGCTCTAGGTGAAGACGGCGCAGACCTGCTGGCTGTGACATACGATCATAGCTCACAACTACGACTGTATCGGATCACAATTCATTGGAACGCAAGTCAGCTCAGTCGAGGGAATCAGCAATACACCCAAGTGGCGCCGAAACTGGATGTGCACCACCTGACAACAGTCGAGAAGGTTCGCGCTCAGCAAGTCGATGTTGCAAAGTTATCTCGTCTCGATATTATACCTGCAGTCCCTGAAGCTGCCCAACAGGCACCTACCCTACCGACTGTTCAGGCTATCTTCACACACGCCGTGCTTCCCCTAGACGGCTCACAGAATCAAGACTGCAGCAGCACAATCTCGCGATGGACAGTAGAGTCATATACACCTACTCTACATGAAAGCTTTAAGAAGCTCAAGCCAGGCGCTGCTGCAAAGGCTCATCACGTACTGAACCAGGCAACAGTTCTTAGACGGCAGGCTGATGTCACGATCAATAAGATGGTTTTGGCCTTTGCCTCGCAGGCATTCGACACAATCCATGTGTTTGCGGCCAGCGACGGCAGTGTCGACTTCAGAGATCGCGTGACCATGACCGGATTGGGATCTTTTGGCAGTACAGAGACAGTGGCCAATGCTTCACAAACGGGATTCTACCATATGCCTGGCGAACAGAACCTCAATGTTGCCATCTCCCCTGATGGTAGTGCTCTAGCTTTGCAGCGTCCGGACAAGACTATCGTGACGCAAAACATGACGTTTACACACGGATGGCAGGTCGCAGACGATAGTCTCGGTGGCGACAATAAGGCGTACATTGAAGCGGCGACAGTGTGCCTCGCAAGGCAGTATGCATTCCTGTGCTTCAACAACATTTCCACGGACGAAGTACTCGCCCTCTTGCCTAATAACGCCGAGTTTGAACTCCGGTCGATGGTCATCAAGATGATTCTAAAGATGCTACAAAGGACGCCGGACATATCCTGCCAAGAGAATAACAGGCAACAAATGATCGTACTCAAAGAGCCGTTCGTGCCACGCTGTCTTAGTGCGCAGATGGCGCTCGGCACCAACGCAGTTACTGGTGAACGCAATTTTTCGGCCCAGTATGCATTTGCCATGCTCAGCCTTCGACTAGCTGGCACAGCCTGCGCTCAAACACTCAGTCGGCAGGATATGAAAACCATCCCAGCAGATGCAGTGCACTCTCTTCGAGGACTTGTGAAGTGGAGTGTGGACCTCATGGTCTACATCGTCAATACGCTCGTTGAGACGAAGCGTAGTCTGAACGCAGACCTCGCTCCAAGACAGGCCTTCTCTAATCTCATAAGCTCTTCAGGAAGCGTGGCGCTGCATCTCCTTTTGTGCAGCTATTCACGGGTGATGTTACGCTTTCAGACGATGTGGGTGATCAAGTTCACACACGCAGCACAGCTTGTTCTCCCTCGCGCTCGATCGGTTCAGGAACAACAAGAGCTCAGCGCGACCCTTCAGCGAGTGAAAGACATGCCATTCGAACTCCGGCACTTCGAACAGATGATGTCAGAACTCGATACGGCTATTCGAGGCGCCTACAGCCAATCTTCAATTTCTGCGGAAAAGCGCAGCGAAGTGGAGACGAATATGGTTGTCGATGGCGCCATTCCTGCAGAGTTGGAGAATCCGATTAACAGTCTGCTGGAAAGCATGCTGCCGAAATTGAGTGACAATGTCAACCTGACTGACCTCATGCTTTGGGACACTCGAGGAATTGGGCTCCGAAATTGTCGGCAAGCAGAAGATGGGAAGACGTATGATGTGATCAGAAAGATTCCCATGCAAAGCGATATGCAGAGAAGGGTTTGCAGAAGATGCGGCTCTGAGATGGAAGACATCAGTCCCGAGCGGCTGAGAAGCGAAATGATGAACCTGGCGTGGTTCGCACATCTCCAAAGACATTGCTTGTGTATGAACTATTGGTTACTGGCGTGAGTACGGCGAGAAGCGAGAGCACTGTCTCGTGCATAGAGGTCAAGTTAGCCGTACACCAGCGGAGTGGCTCTAATAGACCAGGTATCTGCACAAATGCAGCCATCGTATCGAAGCGATCCGTTCCACGCAGCATTCCACGGAGTCTACTCCTGATCATGCGCTCCACAAGCTCGAGCAGGGAAGCTCCCACCTCTTCCCACGAGAGCTTCGAGCCTCCTCCGTTGCATCCAGCCAACCAGGCGCGTCGAACTCCGCACCAAGTTCAAGGATTCGGATCCCATCATCGATAAAGATTCGTGCTAATCTGCCGCACAGCATTTTGGCGCGCAGTTTGTACTCGTTACCAACATCTAGGTAGGTAGAGGGTGTGACCACAGTGCTATGCATACTCTACCCCGCTGATAGACCTGTTTCACCGCATTCGCCAATTCAGACTCTGAGTCGTGCAGGTGCGATTGCGTGACGATGAGAAGGTCATGCTGTTACGGCCTGCATATGGAAGGAAGGAAGAGACATATCATCACATGCTGAAACTGCTGGTCAAGAACTGATTGTATTCGAGTTCAAGCTTCGAGAGGTATCGACTGATTTCACTCTGTGCTGTGAGCAAACGAAGCAATCTACAAAAGCATTCAAGGATTCGTCCTCGCGGTGACAGTCTCGTGTGGCTGATCAAGAAGAAGACAGAACAAGCAGCAAAACAAGTCCATAGTGTGATGGCGCGTTTCACGCCCCGCCAAATCATAACAACCCTAAGCGTCTTCGTAAGTCGAGAAACAAAACACAAGCCACTCTCAAAACCCCCATCACTAACATCAAAACCCCCAACCCAGTACCTCCTCCTCCTCACCATCCTCGCCGGCTACGCGCTCCACCGCAACAACACCCTCTCCCTCCCCATCCCCAACGTCCAAGCAGCTCTGACCCTCGCCCTCCCACCTTTGGCCGGAATCGTCCTCGAAACTCTCATATCCTTCCAATCCTCCCTCGCCCTCAAAACCGATCTCCTCCCCGCCTCCACCACCTCCAAAAATCTTCCCTACACCAAAACCTTCCAAACCCTCACCGCCCTCTTCCTCATCTACGAAACCGTCCTCGCCACTTTATCCGGAACCCATATCGCCCCCATCGGAGGCCTCTGGTGTCCGCTTCATGATCGCTGGCAAAGTTTGTATAAGAACAAAGATGGAAGGCATATTCGAGCGATTCAAGATGCGTTGGAATGTTGTGGGTTCGCGAGTATGAAGGATATGGCGTGGCCGTTTCCTGGGCAAGGAAGAAATGGAGGCGGGGGAGCAGAGATGTGTAGTGTGAGATTTGAGGAGAGGACGAGGGCTTGTTTGGAGCCTTGGAGAAGTGAGGAGAGGAAAGTGGCTGTTATGTTGTTGGTTGTGCCTGTGGGGGTGTTTTTGTGGAAGGTATGTTATTTCTTCTCTCTTCGTTGTTTTTGTCTCTGATTTGTGGACGTTGGAGAAGAGGTGCTAACATTTCCTCCAGCTTGCTCTGTTCTTTGCTGCTGCTTCGGAGTCGACATGGTTGCCTTCTGGAATTCGATTACCGAGTGAGAATTCGAGAGGCTCGAATCTTCCGCGACCTGCGATTATGTATCGGGATATCGAACAGCAGGGTGACGATGATAGCCTGCGGGAGGAAGTAAGCAGGTTGAACAAAGATTCGACCCTCGCGACGCATGTTGAGAATGGACGAAGAGGTCCGCGGGTTGTCGCTTCGCCATTGATACAGGAGCAAGAGAACGGTTGGAGGAGTGACTGATCTGTTCTGGAATGACGTGCCGACTTGAGCGAGATGCGAGTTTTCGATCTGTTGCAGGCTACAACTCCTGCAGGTATTGTTTATACTGCTTGCTCTTTTAGCTCGGCGTCTGGGATTTTGTCATATACTGAGTTCACTGTTGCCAATAAAGCGAGTATCGTCTTCTTTCACTGTTCAATTATTTCCCTTTTCCGTTCCGAGTATTACCCAGGGGCTTTTCGGAACTTCCGTTTAGTTCGCACTCATGTCGCCAAGTTAGCACAATCGCGGCCAGGATGCCGTGACAGCAACTGGTGGGAATTCAACATGACCTAAGAAAGAATGCGCTTATGAATATTGGTTGAACGTATTGTATTGCATTAGATTAAGGCATATGTATATGGGGTATCATTTCCTTCGCTGCGTCCAATCATTATAGTAGTACACGATCATTAAGCCCATCCTGGAGGGTTGGGTTCCGCTGCGGTCGAATATTCTATGACCTGTGATATGGCAACTAGCCAGCGAGCGTGTGATGCGTCATCAAATTGCAGGAACTTCCTAGTAGTTGGTGGCGGTGCCAGTCGTGCCATATGGGTTGCTCACACCAGTGCCAGTTGGTTGCGTGTAGTAGCCAGAGTGGGATGTGGCTGGCTGTGGGGCATAAGTGGTGTTATCGACCTTGTCGTGCAGAGCGGCATTGTTGCCCACCGTGGTTCCAGTCTCGTAGCTAGCGCGGTTGTTTGGGTTGGCAGGGACTGCGAGTCCACCAGCGCCGCCGGCCATCTCAGCGTCGCGAGTGGCGTTCTTTGGCTTGCGCTGCCAGAACTTCCTCTTGCCGAAGCCTGAAGTGTAGTTGTTGGATGGGCTGGGTCCATAACGCTTCTCCTTCTTGTGGTGGCGGACCAAGACGGTCTGCATGGCTGCGGTGACCAAGAAGAGGAATGCGCCAATGACGGCGACAGCGAAGCAAGCCTTCTGCAGACGGCAGGCGGTGCGCTGGCTGACTTGGTACGTGACCTCGCCTCCGAAACCATCAGAAGTGCTCAGTACTGGGAAGGTGCCAAGCGGAGTGGTGACAATGCCGGTGCAGGAGTCCGTAGCATATCTGGTCAAGACAGCGATGGCGATCATGCCACCGACGAAAGCGATATCAAGGACCTGCGCGACCGTTAGATGGAATTGGAGGGCGCGACGCGACGCGGGTGAAGCTTACAATCGCGACGAATGCGAAGAATGAAATGCCGCCTAGACAGCAAGTGAAGACGACAGCGCAGATGGTGTACAGGACGGCAGCGCCCGAAATGCCTTCGACGGCCTTGACCCATGTGAAGATTGTGCCATTGCGGTCGGCGATGGTCGCGAGGAAGTAGCTGAAGATGCCGAGGATGACTGCTGCGCAGGCAAATGCGAGGGCGTAGAGGAAGGTCTGGAAGAACCTGAGGAAGCCTCCTTTGACGAGACCCATGATGGCGGTGGTCGCTGGCTAGTGCTGATGCTGGGTATGCTGTACGGACGTTGCAAGAAGCTGGCAAGGGTGCTCGAATGCGGGAAGTGCTGGGCTGGGCGGACTGGGAGGATTAAATGTAGGTGCTTGTGGTGATGTGCCGTGCAGATCCTTGAGCCACGCGACGTCACCGTTTGAGACAGCACTGTGGCGCACAGTCTAGCCCAGACCAGAAATTGCCCGGGTTGAACTTGTTTTGGAGGCGTGAAAAGACAGCTGATTCGCTGCCTCTCGTCATTTTCCACCTCGATCCTGGAGATCCTCCTGGCTGGTGTTCGGATCTGGTGAGGCAGCCACAAAGTCTAAGCGCGCTGAGCCACGCCCACCTGCAGCTGCCAGCAGGAAAGCGCAACTCCTTGCAAAAAGTGTTCCTGGCTGCAGATGACGTTGCAGTCCCCACGACATCACCTTCTCGTCAGTGACGACGCGTCCACATGAAGAGCTGGCATCATGCATGCACCGGCGAGCAGATCAATGGCTGATGACCTCGACGCGCTCCACCGAGCAGGTAGCATCCGATGATGGAAACCTTCCGCTCGACCACGGCACGACCTCACCTTCGATTCATTCAATTTCCAAGGCACAGAGCGCCTGTGCCCGTCACTCGGCCTAACGCGATCACGTTGCCTTGCAATTGGAGCGGCGCGTGTGTTGGCAGTTCACAGTCTGAACTATAGGAGATTGCGCCGCACGGACTCTGCTACTTTCCACCAACGCTGTGGCATTCCGCATCACGATTGCTCTTGCCAACTTCACCTCTACAGTACTGGAGTATACAGATATACTGTGCAGAATACAAGACTGAGTATGGAGATGCTTCAATGCTACATAACTTCGGCCATCACTCGACCGAGGGCAGCTGCAAATGTGAATTCCGACCTTGATGGCATTATCTCATGTCGTGATCCGACTTCCCCCCGACTTCCCGTTTCAAACATATCTACCAAGCAGCACCCCAATGGCACACTCTCTCAGATCTCTCCGCTACCCTTCACCAACACCTTCACCTGCCGCTCTTTGTCGTTGATCAGAGTCATAAATCCTTCTTCGAGAACCTCATTCAACTCTATCCGCTTCGTAATCATCTTCTTTGCATTGTCCAGTCGACCATCTGACAATGCATCAATCACAGCTTGGAAATCTGCTTTGACGTAGGTCGCGACTCCCAAATATTTCCGCTCCTTGAATACTAGGTCGTTAGGAAAGAGCGAACATCGTTTCTCCCAAATGGCAATGTTGACGTGCGTGCCTCGTGCTTTCAACGAGTTCACTGCCTGATCAAGACCTGCTTGAACACCTGCGGCATCGAAGGTGACATCCACGCCACGATTATTTGTCAATTTGAGACATTCAGCCACGATGTCGTCCTTTGTTCGAATCGGTCAGCTCGGAGCTCGGCGCGCAGTATACATTAAATGACAACATACCTTTGTGGGATCCAAGACGACATGAGCACCGAAATCCTTGGCGAACTGTTTGCGCATACCAGAGACTTCTGAAACAATGATTTGCGCGCAGCCCCGCGCTCTGAGTGCTTGGATCACGGCCAGTCCGATCGGGCCTCCTCCTAGAATCAGGCATGAGTCGGTCCGCTTGAATGGCGATGACTCCACGGCATGCCAGCCCACGGCTAACGGCTCGACCAGAGCTGTGAAAGACGTCAGTCGGTTTTGAGAAGCCCCAATGCACGGCACTTACCAGCAACATCTAGTCCGACGTTGTCAGGGCAGTTGTACAACGTGTACTCGGGTACGACGATGTGCTCGGACAGACCACCTCCCCATCCACTGAGCCCAATGAAGCCGTTCTTCCAGCAGCAATTGACAAGGCCCTCTGCACATGCTCCACAATCGCCGTCGAAAATGATTGGCGCCACTACTACTCTGCTACCAACCTTGAACCTGTCGGAAACGCCTTCGCCGACTTCTTCGATGACACCCGCAAACTCGTGGCCAAATGTCAATGGTACCGTCTCTCCAGTAATGGGATGTGGTTTATCCTCTGGACAGAGATTAGGGCCACCTAGGTATTCATGCAAATCGCTTCCACAAATGCCACTATAACACGACTCAGTCTCGCTTCAAACAGGATTGGAGTTGCACAACCTACCACCACGCTGGTTTGACTTTGACCTGACCTGGACCGCAGACGGGTTCCGGGATATCTTCGAATCGCAGGTCTTCTTTGGCATAAAATCGTACAGCCTTCATCGTCTTGCCGCTTTCGGCTGCAGGCTTGTTCTCGGTAGCATGGTCGAGGGAGCTATCTTGAATCGTAGCGTGTTGTGACATACTGATGATCAATCTATAACCGGTGAGGTAGGTTCAGACTAGGGAAGGATGAATTGAGATGGGGAGCAGAAGAAGAAAGGACAGGTTTGCCAACACTGGTCTTCCTACTGACCGGCCATCACAGCGAGCAAGAAGCACATACACACGCCGGATTGCCGTTTCCGGACTCTCCGCGAAGCCTCGTGTCCTTTTGGAAGCTTATTCGAGCCGCGACACCACGTGTGGAGGGGTAAGAGAGGGGAGACGGCACGGACGGTGTACCGACGTGGTGCGACATGTCGAAGGATCACCGCATACAGCAAGACGACGGGCGCTCACGAGTGATCAGAAGCGTCGCACGCGAAGGCTGTGCAGGGCGAACGTGAGATGATGGTATGGGATGAGGACGAGAGATGTCTGACAACGGATATCCCGGCGGCAACGACGGAGTGAGACACACAGATGGCGCTTGCCCTGTAGGGCAGCGAAACGCGAGGCTGGAGCACCTGACAAGTGGACGAAGTCTTGGGCCTGCTGCTGCGACTCATCAACATTCTGCCTGTGGAGAGATGCTGAGATTTGGGGGAGCGCGGTGTGGAGCTGGTCCCGCCGGGCACAGTTGACCCGAGCCGCTGAGGCTCGAATCTCACTGATGAAGAAGGCGTAGATCGCACGCAACACTGTAGCGTAAGGCTGACTGCGTCCCCGGCAAGTCTTCAGGAGGAATCTGGTCGCTGGAATATCGTAGATGGCGGCTCTAAAAGCAGTCTGAGGGCCATGCTATTTGGAAGGGCCTCCAACAATTGGGGGCATCACGATGAGCCAGCCCACCTATCTTTGACGATTGATGAGGTCACTTGGCGGCAGCTGCACCTCTGCTCAATTTTTCCCGCGGACGCGCTGTCTTATAGCCGCGTGCCTGCCAATTGCAGAGTTGAAAGAGTAACCTCTTGACTTTCTCAATTTGACACAGGAAACAAACATCCCAACACAACCGCCAATATGGGTTACCCAGAGACCGCCGAGGGCTTTATGATCGCCGACCAGAAGAACTGGACGAGCTTCGAGAAGAAGGAGTTCAAGCTGAAGCCGTTTGAGGACCGCGACATTGACATTGCCATTGAGTGCTGCGGTGTCTGCGGATCAGACGTCCACACCATCAACGGAGGCTGGGGTGACTGCCCACTCCCAATCTGTGTGGGACACGAGGTATGTTATCACTGCAAGCAAGACACGCGTCCCCCACGAAAACTAATGGCGTCTCCAGGTCATTGGAAAGGCCGTCAAGGTTGGCAAGGACGTCAAGACTATCAAGGTCGGCGACCGAGTAGGTGTTGGTGCTCAGATCGGAGCCGATCTCACCTGTGGCAACTGCAAGGCAGACCAGGAGAACTACTGCCCTAACTCAATTGGTGAGTGATCGCGACCTCAAGATAGCGGACGCCGAACTGACAGATTTGTGTTCAGACACATACGGTGCTCCATACAAAGATGGCACCATCTCGCAAGGTGGCTACGCCTCCCACATCCGCGCTCACGAATACTTCACCTTCAAGATCCCAGACAACATCGAGAGCGCAGTTGCAGCCCCGATGCTGTGCGCCGGTCTGACAGTATACTCGCCCCTCGTACGTCTCGGAGCCGGCCCAGGCAAGAAGGTCGCAATCGTTGGTCTGGGAGGACTCGGTCACTTCGCTGTGCTTTGGGCTCAAGCTCTCGGAGCCGAAGTCTACGTCCTCTCCCACAGCCCGAACAAGAAGGATGATGCCCTCAAGATGGGAGCTAAGCACTTCATCTGCACAAACGAGGAGGGCTGGCACAAGGATTTGGCCTTCACCTTCGACTTCATCCTCAACTGCGCCGATGCCACGCACAAGTTCAACCTGAAGGACTACTTTGGCACACTGAAGGTCATGGGTCGCTTCCACAACGTCGGCTTTGGCGACCACCCTCTTCCAGAGCTGATGGCACAAGACTTCGCTGGTAACGGTTGCTACATTGGTGCCTCGCACATTGGTAACCGACCAGAAATGCTTGCCATGTTCGATTTGGCCTCGAAGCAGAACATCAAGAGCTGGATCCAGACAGTCGATATCTCTGAGTCGGGCTGCGCAGAGGCCGTGAAGGCTGTGTCTGAGAACACCGTCCGATACAGATATGTCTTGACTGGATACGACAAGGTGTTCGGTAAGCGTGATTAGAGAGGATCAACACCAGACATAGAGATATGGCTATGATAAAATCATGAATGAACGTACTTTTGAAGCTTACGTCGTAGTCGGAACCATGATCGGCCTCCGTCGAGTTGAATCTCGTATGTACATGGCAGTCCTACGAACTCACCCCGCCGGAGAAGCGAAAAGCGAGATAGACTACCTATCCTCCCTCTCCACTCACGACAGATCGAGCACAACACGTCCACTAATCTCTCCCTTGTCCATTCTCTCAAAGATACTTGTCAACTCTTCTGGCTTCGCAGTAGTGAAGTGCGTCTTCACCACTCCTCGCTCCGCAAACTCCAATGTCTCAATCGCCTCCTTACGATCACCAACCGCAACGCCTACAATCTTCTGTGCCTTGGCAACGAGGAACTGTGGGAAAGCTGTGGCAATGGGCTTGAGGTCTCCTTCTGGCAGACCGACACAGACCAGGGTACCGCCGAACTTGAGCATGCCCATGCCGCTATAGGAGAAAGAGAAATGTCAGTCACTCCCAGCCAAAACCCCTCAAGAAGAAAAGAAGAACTCACCTCGCATAAGCCGCATTAGCAGCAGTCAAAACCAACACAGCCTGAACACCCAATCCTCCCGTCGCAGCTTTAACCTCCTCTTCCGCCTTACCTTGCGTATGATCAATGAAGACCTCTGCTCCACAATCTTTGGCCAAATCTTTCTTGCTGCCGGCATCAATGGCAATGACTCGGATTCCCATACCCCGCGAGGCAATTTGTGTGGCCAAATGTCCGAGACCACCTCCTGCTCCGAGAATAGCGATCCAGTCTCCTGCTTTGGCGCTAGATTTGCGAAGGGCGGAGTAGACTGTTACACCGGCGCAGAGCATGGGAGCGGCGGCATCCGAGGGGAGGGATTCGGGGATTGGTGTTACGTAGCTGTATACCAATGAACATCAGTATGTGCATCCTTTCTCAACGAGATAGTAACACTTACCTCGCTGGCGCAAGAGCATATTGCTGAAATGTTCCTGGAGTGTAGTACCCTGAGATCTTCTGATTAAAGCAAACACCATCGTGTCCTGCATGACAAGCTGGGCAAGAATCACAAATGGCGGAAATCCATTTAATTCCTACGCGGTCTCCGATTTTGACGGCGCTGTTCTCTGCTCCCGGGCCGAGTTTGACGACTTTGCCGACTCCCTCGTGGCCACCGACTTGGCCGGCTTGAGTTGGGTATGGGAGACCTGCCCAGCGGTTTGTCATGACCTGGATAGTGTTTAGTTTCTCGTGAGAGAGAGACTCTTTGGGGTATTGTTCAACTTACACCGAGATCAGAATGGCAGACGCCAGAGTGTGTGAGGTTCACGAGGACCTCGCCTGGACCTGGCTCTGGTGTGTCGAGCTCGACGACTTTGGTGGAGATTTTGCCTGGCTCATCGTAGATGACGGCCTTGTATTTCTTTGGGATCTCTGGAGCTGCCATTGTGGATGTATGTCTGTCCAAGCTACTGTGGTCTTGATGAGTTGTTTAAATTACAGTTACACAAAAATTGGTATGTCGAAGAAAAGAACCAGAAACTGCAAAGTAGACTTATGGGTCTTTTTAATCGTACGTCTCGACTCGTGCACAGCATGTGGGTAGAGCTATGAGATAAGACGACCAGGAGGGAGAGAGGACCTCGGCAGCTCCAATTGATGCAGCATTGCTCCACGGCATTGACTTAGCGTACATTGTGTGGTGCTGCCTTTGACTGGATCTGCATGCATTTGTTGTCTGGATCCAACGAGAGGTGGCTTGCCTGGATGGTTAGCAAGTGTGGGGCAAACCGCCCTTGGAGCTCCCCTCGCTCCCGACTAAAGAAGCCACTGGGGAGGGGTAGAAGTGTGGAGTACTGCAGCCAACGACGTGCGTGGAATCCGCGTAGCAGCCTTACACCATGCCTAGGGACAATCCAGATGGTCTTGGGTTTTTGATGTGTTTCATATCAGCGAGCTAGAGATCAGGACAGCCGCATACCTTTCCCGACCGAGTTCTTGGCAATACGAGAGACGAATATTCCGGTATTGTGATTGCCACCTGCAACATGTCCCACTCAGGCGAAAGAAATCTCGACAAGCTCATTGAATCGATGAATCCAACCCTAGACGACGAAGTTTTCGTATTCTCAAAGCTTCCCTTGGATTCGAATCAAGCCCTGGACTTCATTCTCAAGATATCCGATTTAGGCGTGAAGATGTTGTTCAGAGAGAAGGAAGCCTGGACCCTCATACTTCCAAAGTCAATGGCAACTGCCGAGAAGCTCGACTACATGTTCGAGTGTCGACAGATCACTCTGAACGTCCACTCTAGTCTGGATGCTGTGGGGTTTTTGGCCGCCATCACGACAGAGTTGGCGTCGAAATTGGGCATAGGTGTCAATCCAGTGAGCGGATTTTATCACGATCATCTCTTCGTGCCTACAGGCACTGAGGAGCAAGTCGTCGAAGCTCTACGACACATGTCAGCTGCCAGAGGTCAGCGTGATTCGTAGAGTGTACATTTTGCAAGGATAGTAGGGAAATACTTCTTCAGCCTTCAAGAGCTGATCATCGGCATCGAGCCGGTCAGTCGTATTTCGACGTCTATGGAACTTTTACATCGTCAACAAGACTGAAGCGAAGAAGCCGTCATTATACATAAGTGCATGAGAGCGCAATGATGTTGTCCAATCCGCGATCCGAACGCCGGTCATAATTCATGCATGCGAGAAACGCGATGAAGAGGATGTTGTGAACTAGAATCGCAGGTCCCAACCCATCTGTGGTCCGATGCGCGGGAGTTCCTCTGCGACAGACTGCACATCCTTGTCACCGCGTCCAGACAAGCAGATAACGATGTTTTGGTCGTCCTTCATGGTCTTCGCGAGCTGAATGGCGCCAAAGACGGCGTGGCTGGTCTCCAAGGCTGGGATGATACCTTCCAATTCAGAGAGGACCTTGAAGCCGATGAAAGCTTCTGTGTCCGTGGCAGCGATGAACTTGGCCCTCTCGCTGTCTTTCCAGCCAGACAGCTCCGGACCAACTCCAGGATAGTCCAGACCTGCTGATACAGAATGTGTTTCGTCGATCTGACCCTCGTCGTTCTGCAGAATGTACGTTCTCACACCGTGCAGAACTCCAGGCTTTCCACCTGTGAGGGTGGCACTGTGCTTCTTGGTTTCTACGCCATCACCACCCGCTTCAACGCCGAGAAGCTTCACGCTCGGGTCGTTCGAGAATGGGTAGAACATGCCCGTGGCGTTGCTGCCACCGCCAACGCACGCGACGACAGCATCCGGAAGACGGCCAGTCAGTTCTTGCATTTGCTCCTTCGTTTCATTTCCAATAACACTTTGGAACGTCCGCACCATTGTCGGGAAAGGATGAGGACCGATCGCAGAGCCGATGATGTAGTGTGTAGTGTCGAGCTTCTCAACCCATTTTCGGAGAGCTTCGTTGACTGCATCGCGAAGCGTTCGAGAGCCAGCCTCGACCGCAACGACAGATGCACCCAGAAGCTTCATCCTGAAGACATTGAGAGCCTGTCTCCGTACATCTTCAGCACCCATATAGACTGTGCACTTCATGCCGAATCTAGCGCAGACGGTGGCAGTGGCAACACCGTGCTGGCCAGCACCTGTCTCCGCAATGATCTCTGTCTTGCCGAGTCGTCTGGCGATCAATATTTGCCCGACCGCGTTATTGATCTTGTGTGAGCCGGTGTGGTTCAGATCTTCACGTTTCAAGTAGATATTTGCGCCATGACCAGGCTGACTTTCCTCTCGTACTAGCTCCGTGAGTCGTTCTGACTTGTGGAGACTCGAAGGACGACTCATGTATGGATAGTATGACCTGAACTCTTTCCAAAACTCTGGGTCATTGATAGCATCGCTGAAGCCTTGTTCCAGTTCTCGCAAGCAGTCCATGAGCGACTCGGGCACGTACTGGCCACCAAATTGGCCGAATCGCGAAGGAACAAGCTCTGGGTCCTTCTCTTCTGTGTTCAGTGCCTCCAGTTGATCAGCGAGGCCGGGACCCTTAGTGTCCGAATCTCTTATCACTCCATCAACATGCACTGTGCCATTCGCCGGGTTGCTCTCGCTCGCGGGTTGCTTCGTGGGGTCTGCAGTCGAGATTTCTTTCGGCGCTTCGCCGTTTGTCTGCTTGATCCAGCCGCTGCCGTCACCATTTGTGTTCGCAGCGGTCGAAATACTGTGTCCATTGGTCGCTTCTGGGCTAACGCGAGGGTTTCTCCGCTGAGTAATCTTGTGACAGTACTCCTCAACAGCCTTCGCTCCTTGCCCACTCGGCGCATTCTTGATTGTAGTGATGATTTGACTGCCGATAACGACACCCTCCGACACCTGACCCACCTCGACGAAGTGCTCTCGCGTACTGACACCGAAGCCAACGGCCGCCGGCGCTCCATTCGAGTATTGATGCACGCGCTCAACGAGTTGTGGAAGACCTGTGCTAAGGGCGCCAGTTGCACCGGTGACACCCATTCTCGACACAACGTAGATAAAAGAGTCTGCGATACTGCACAGCAACTTCATGCGCTTGTCACTCGTTGATGGTGCGATCAGTGGGACGTATGACAAGCCGTAGGTCTTGCAATGGTGGCGGAACCTCACAGCCTCCTCAGGCGGCAGGTCCACCATGATGAAGCCATTGACGCCAGCAGCTTTGGCGTCTTGTAGCATACGCTCTTCGCCATAGGCAAGTAGCGGATTGTAGTAGCCCATGAGCAGGACCGGGGCCTTCAGACCCTTGCTGCGGGCCTCTTTGACAATGTTCAGACATGAAGTAGTTGTTGTGCCGTTGGCCAACGCGATGGTGTTAGCTGTCTGAATAGTCGGTCCGTCTGCAATAGGATCGGTGAAGGGCGTTCCCAGCTCAATGATGTCGGCGCCACCGGCTTCCATCCCCAGCAGGATGTTGGCCGTCTCTGCTATCGTGGGGTAGCCAGCAGTCGTGTATGTCACCAAAGCCGCCCGGCCCTCGCTCTTTGCGCGGGCAAACGCCTGTCGGATGCCCTCTGCCATGGTGGCTGATCTCGTTCACGGAGGATGGATGTCGTATAGTCGGGTGCACTCTCGTAGGTGGAAAGGAGTGGGCTGTGTTGTGAGAGGATAGCAACAGTAATAAAGAGTCTTGTGAGTCAATGGCTGTTCGGCGTCCGGCGGCCGTCAAACAAAATTGGACGTCCGAGCCAGATGAGCTCACCATGCAGGGTCCAAATCTCGCCCCTCCTCGACTTGCCTCTCCATTCGTATCCATGTTGTACCGACACATACCATCAAGAGGCCTCGGAAGTTCCGATGCACGACTAGCATCTATTGCGCATTGTTGTCTGCGACAATCGCGCAACGAACACATCTTCGCAATGGCTAGTATCAAGAACAGCCATGGAAGGACAAGATTCGGATTTGCCCATCCTTGAACACGGTGAGCAGTGAGAATCAGGTCAGCTAATAACACAAAGTGTCTCTCCAAAGGCCGATGCGAGCATATGACCCAATGCCAGCGGCGCGAAGAATCAAGGCGAACGCAGGATGAAAGCGGACACCAAGATTATTCGCTTGAGCACGATACGATACCAAGCAGATCTATGGCGTCTCTGGACACCTTGCCGGATGCCGCTGAGGACAACAGCAGACCTATAGAAGATCTTGCCCATCGCCTATCATTTTTCAGAGCTGATGTTTTGATCCTGCACCAACATGGCGCGTCACAGCGTCTTTACTGTTGCGGCGGTCTTGGCTCCGTAGCGCCAATCAGGCGCGCATTTACGCGCCCATCCAGTCTTCGAGCATGCGTCGCCACTCACGACCGCATGCGATCCTTCTCGATACCTGGCTGCGGCGTTGTTGGCGGCTACATGACGAACGGTTGCTCCCATGACGAAGTCTCTGGCGGCAACGACAGCCTGGCGAGGTGAGTCGTCTCGTTCAAATTGAACATAGTAGCCACGTCCACGGGCCTCCGGCCATGACGCTGCTTGTTGCTACGACTGCACGAATCTCATTGGTATAGTTGTACTGCTTTCTTTTCATCTCTTTCTTCAGGCTGCTGGACAGCCGTAATATTGCATTCGATAATCGTTAGGACCGGACTCCATGCTTGGAAGCAACTGGGCACTATGCCGTGGGGCCTTCCGACACCGTCACTCCAGAATGCGCCGCGATCAGACAGACAAGGCAATTCGAACACAACACAGTCACTTCTCGACAAGGAGCTGCAAAGTGCAGTGCCTGCATGTGCGCGCACTTGTCTAGACAACTTCATCCGGACACAATTCAACCTAAGATGTCTCGCAGCAGATTGCATATGCAGCTTTACCTCAAATTCGGAACCAGAGTATTCACTTGGGGAGCTCGCTCTGAAGTGCGTAAAAGGACCAAGCTGCGATGGCGTTGAGATAACTGAGCAAGCCGCGGCGGTGGCATTCAACTTGTGTTCGGGCCGATATGGCGCTGCTCCAGGCGTGCATACGACACTGACTGTGGCCCCATCAACATCAACAAAAAGGACCTCCTCCGCAACCTCGACGTCAACAAAAACTTCTTCCGTTGTCAGAACGTCGACAACACAGGCAGCGACGACCAGCTCTTCTAGTGCCGCGACTGCGGGAGCTTTCGCATCTTCCCGTCCTGAAGATGACTCGGGACTGTCGAGCGGGCAAGCTGTAGGCATCGCCATCGGTACTGTTTCTGCAGTGACGCTCATTGTAGCTCTAATATATGTTATATCTTGCATGCGTCGACGCAAAAGACAAAAGAATAGCACACAGAGACATAGCTGGGATTTTGCTGACGAGGAGCCGGCAAACCATTCGCAGTTTGTGCATGGCAATGTGGACACAAGCAACACATCATACGAGTGGAATGGATACAACGCCGGACCCGTTTCGGAAAAGCATCATACGTTCTGGCCGTCACCCTATGCAGGTCATGGTACGATAGCAGAGCGGGAGTACGGCCACAAACAGAGCAAAATGTCCCGCACGACCAATGCATTACCGGACAGTCCAGGTAGCAACACAAGCATGCGAACACTGTCGCAATTATTGCCCGAGCGACCAGGTCGTCAACCTCCGCCGCCACCATCGAAATCGCCAGCGTACGCCCCAGCGATATACACTCCTGCCACGGTCTTCGAGGAAGAACACACACCAAAGCTGCCTGATGTCTCGTTCCCAGGTTTACCAGCTCATCCAGCGGTAATGAAGAACAAGCCCGTCAGAGCAACACAAGTAGGCATGTCACAGCCAGCTCTGTCGATCCAGATTCCCCAGCAGCCTGTTCGAACGCCTGACACGCACAATTCAGTCAATTGGCCTCTCCCGCCACCCCCAGCACTGCAACCACATGGCGAACTTCAACGCCTGGGAACCAACTCAGGTGCCTTCTCAAGCAAGACAAGCTTGCTGGACTATTACGCGAGCGCAGATAGCGGCGCATCGCCTCAGGACCTCAATTCTTCCACGCCAATCGAGGAGGCTATCCAAGTGCGGCGACCCGCTCCCGCTGCTATAGTCATTACCCAGCCCTCGTATCAGCCACAAGCTGTGAGGGACTCGATCGCATCAGATATATCGCGTCGGACTTCATTTGAGAGCACCAATCCGGATGATACGACACCGCCTGAAGACGAAGACAAACGATTGAGTCCTGTTGTGGAGTCGCCCATCTCGAATGTCCGGTATCCCAGAATTCCTAGACCTAGCAATCAGGCTATTCCTCGATCGCCGGTGTATTCTGGCGCGCCTGTTCGACACCCGCAAAGGACAGACAGTAGAGCAGACATGCTGACAGAAGTGAAGAGGACCACGGGACACGCTCCGACATTGAGTGGCTCGACTTTAGCCGCGAAGCGGAGAGGCGATACAGCCGCCCACAATCTGGAACAAGGCCTTCACATTAGCAACTCGTCCTACGATACGACCTCACGGAAGAATGCGACGCAGGCTCCGAATGAAAATCGCGCTCATCGCGGACAGCAAAATCCATTGAAGGGTTATGGCCGACCGACAAACCCGCCAAGCGCTGGAAGGGCTCAATCCGCAACAGTCAACGTGAAGAGCCCGGCGGAATCGTTGGGAAGCCCATTGTGGGAGCCTAAGATGACGCCTAGTCGGAAAGGCGACGATCTGTTCTTGAGCGTGTCTGTTGCGACTCCGCAAGCGAGTCATTTCCACGAATTATATGACCGACGATGAATGGAAGCATAGTGGCATTTCATTTGCAGCGTTCAAGCGGAAAGACCGCAATGGTCCTGTATTAGTAGACGATAGAGATTCCAGTTCCAGATGTACATATAGCATAATTGCAGAATCTGACGATGATGGCCAAGATGGCATCGTAGTGTTTCCTCTGCTCAGATGCCGATCGCTCTGCGGATGGGGGCCGAGTTCACTGAAGCCGATGCGGCTCTACTCAGCGAGTTTTTTGGGCGGATGAGAGTGACTGAGGTGCCAATGGTACCTGAGAGCAAGGCTAAACACGTGCTTTGCAAAATCTCCGTCAGCATTGGTCATGGCGAGATGATCCGTCGCGCGCCGGTGGAGGAGGAAAAATTGCCGTGCACACACAAACGACGAGATTGCTCAGCAATGGCGGCCACTGTCGCAGGTCGCGGTGTGCTGAGGCCAATCGTCATCGGCGGCGCGGTGTCGAGGCCAGCAGTGCCGCCGAGGGGGGCGAGTGTATTGCCGTTGTAAGACCGTGTCGGCGTCTGCTTGAGCACCAACAAAGTCATCGCGTCCAAAGTGGGGACCCTGTCGCCCTGCGTGGGAAGTTACATCAGCGCAAAACTTGAGCTCTTTTCAAGAAAGCCCGACTCTCTCTCCTCCACTCGTCTTCGACTCACCACCGCAACGATGCCTTACAACAAGACAGACGAGCTTGCCATCAACACCATCCGGTATGTGTCCGCTGTTCCGCCCCGCACCGCCGTGACTCGAGCTGACTTGTGTTTCCTAGGACGCTGGCCGTGAGTGTGCCCCGCCATGCCCGCCTCAACACTTTCGAAACATTTCGCCCGCCACCACGACGACGCCATTGAGCACCACCGCTGACAACGAGATCCGCGCAGGTCGATGCCACGTTCGCCGCCAACTCGGGCCACCCGGGCGCGCCCATGGGCATGGCCCCAGTGGCCCATGTGCTGTTCAACAAATTCATGACCTTCAACCCAAAGAACCCCAAGTGGCTGAACCGCGACCGCTTCGTGCTCTCCAACGGCCACGGATGCATGCTGCAGTATGCTTTGCTGCACCTCTTCGGCTACGATGTCACCATCGACGACCTGAAGGCTTTCCGCCAGGTCGGCAGCAAGACGCCTGGCCACCCAGAGTCCACCGACACACCCGGCATTGAGGTGACAACTGGTCCTCTCGGACAAGGATTCACCAACGCTGTTGGTCTTGCCATTGGCCAGGCTCACACCGCCGCCGTCTTCAACAAGCCCGGATACGAGCTTGTCAACAACTACACCTACACCTTCTTCGGCGATGGATGTGCCATGGAGGGCATTGCCAGCGAGGCCGCCTCCACTGCTGGTCACTTGCAGCTCGGCAATCTGATTGCCATTTACGACGACAACCATATCTCCATTGGTGAGTTACTTGGGCACTAATAGCATCGCTCTCGGAGCTAACAGGACACAGATGGTGATACCAAGTGCGCCTTCACCGAAGATGTCACCAAGCGATTCGAATCCTACGGCTGGCACGTGCAGTGGGTCAAGGACGGCGACAATGACCTCGAAGGCATTGAGGCTGCCATCAAGAAGGCCAAGGAGGTCAAGGACAAGCCATCCATGATCCGATTGACCACCACCATCGGCTTCGGCTCCGTGCTCCAGGGAACTGGCGGTGTGCACGGAAACCCGTTGAAGGAGGATGACTGCAAGCAGGTCAAGGAGAAGTTCGGTTTCGACCCAAGCAAGAGCTTCGCTGTCCCACAAGAGGTGTATGATGCATACCACAAGCACGCCGCTGAGGGCGCTGCTGCTGAGCAGGAGTGGAACCAGCTGCTCGAGAAGTACTCCAACGAGCACAAGGAGCTGGCCGCTGACCTCAAGCGTCGTTTGACTGGCAAGCTCCCAGACGGCTGGCAGAACAAGCTCCCAGTATACAAGCCTTCGGACAAGGCTGTCGCCTCGCGAAAGTTGTCCGAGTCCGTCCTCGAGGCCATTTACGAGGCTGTACCAGAGCTTCTCTCTGGTTCCGCAGATCTGACTGGATCCAACAACACCCGCTGGAAGAGCGCCGTCGACTTCCAGCCCCCAAGCCTGGGCATTGGTGACTATAGCGGTCGCTACCTCCGCTATGGTGTGCGCGAGCACGCTATGGCTGGTATCATGAACGGTCTCGCGGCCTATGGTACTCTCATTCCAGCTGGTGGCACTTTCCTCAACTTCGTTTCATACGCTGCTGGATCTGTTCGTCTCTCTGCCCTGTCTCACCACCGAGTGATCTACATCGCCACACACGACTCCATTGGTCTGGGAGAGGACGGCCCAACTCACCAGCCTATTGAGACGCTTGCTCACTTCCGCGCTCTGCCAAACATGATGGTCTGGCGTCCAGCTGACGGAAACGAGACTTCTGCTGCATACTACGTCGCCCTCACTTCGGAGAAGACCCCATCCATCCTCGCACTCACCCGCCAGAACCTGCCACAGCTCGAGGGTTCAACTATCGAGAACGGCATCAAGGGTGGTTACGTTGCAGTCGAGGCAGAGGGCGCTCAAATCACTCTCGTGTCTACTGGTTCCGAGGTGTCTCTCTGTTTGGAGGCCGCCAAGTACCTGAAGGACAACAAGGGCGTCACTGCTCGTGTTGTCTCGATGCCTTGCATGGAAGTCTTCGACGCACAGCCAAAGGACTACAAGCTCAAGGTCATTCCAGACGGCATCCCATCTCTTTCCGTCGAGGTCATGAGCACTCTTGGCTGGGAGAAGTACTCGCACGAGCAATTCGGTCTCAACCGATTCGGTGCTTCCGGTCCTTACAAGGAGGTTTACGCCAAGTTTGAGTTCACTCCAGAGGGCATTGCCAAGCGTGCTGTCGCCACCATTGACTTCTACAAGGAAGTCAAGCCTCTCCGATCTCCATTGAACCGTGCTTTCCAGCAGCTCATCTAGATGCTTCACAAGAGCGATGTAAGAGTTTGCGCTACCATTATGGGAATGGCTAGCAGGAAGCGGAATGCGTTTGACGATTCGGGCTCGACGAGGATAAATGAATATACCTCTGTAGATGAAAATGTGTTATGATCTGATGAAGAACTGTCTTATTTCTGATGATTTCTACCGCACTTACTCGCAAGTGTGATCTCGACGGTGCCAGCAGTTCCTGCAGCGTCCAGCTACGATCAAACCATTCGCTGTGGTGGTCACGTCCACTGTGTTCAAATTCCGCGTTACTTCCGACGACTATCCGCGACGTGAACGAAGTCAATTGGCAGATGCAAGTAGTGAGCAGCGTAGTGGTAAGCTGCGGCCGAGCTAGTAGACTGGAAGCCTGCCGTGGGGCACTTGCTTGGAGGCCAACGCAGCCTAGCAGTTCTTGCCAGTCGAAGTCTACCAACACTTTCAAGGACATGAAGTCTCGCTTGTCCGAAAGCCCTCAACGGCCTTCTCTCTTTGCGACAAAGTGATGTCGAAACTGGAGGCTGACGACGCGAATTATCACGAAGCCGGACGGTAGCAACTCTTCCACATTTCTGATGATATGCCTCATGTCCCGCCAGTGCTTTTTCAAGATACGAACCACTCTTCTTCTATGGCGGTAGCTTTCACGCCGTTGAGCACAATAATACAATGCGGAAGCGACGATCCACCGATGGACCTCTCCAGCGCTGTACGATCTGTCAGACTGTCACCTGCGTAGACTACAGGGACCGGATAGCAGAGTATATTTCACTTTCTGGGCATCTGCAAACTTTTTGACAGCCGACTTAGGGCAACTTATTCACACGAGAGCCCCGGTAAGCCTTGAGCTTACATTCCTTGGAACCGGGTGCATTCTGTCACCTGCATACGAGAATCGAGTAGCAGAGTAGATCTCACTTTCTGGGCACTTGCAAACTTTTTGGCAATCGATTTAGGGCAGCTTGTTCGCAGAAGAGCCCCGAAAACCCTAGGGTTTATACAATATTCCTGGAATCCGTACTGTATATGCAGGCGACAGGTCGCATTTGCCCAATCGAGCAAGTGCACGAGCCATGTTCAATGGTCCTGACGGGTGCAAAGGATAAATACCTCACAGTCTGAAAGGGCGCGGAGGAGGTGAGGATCGATCTCGTGTGCCACATCTTGCAGGCATGTGGCCTGGTTGGTGGGCACGTTCCCACCCGACCAGCCCCAGCTATAGTATTTGGCTTAAGTTCTTCGATCGAGGCTTGGCAAGAACTTAAGTTAACGTTCTTTCTGTTGTCCCTTGCTGTCGGTTGCTCTGATGCTTTAGAACACGATGCATGTTGGGCAAGGCTGGCGCATGCTCCGACTGTGCAGCATCGAGTCATGAAGTTTGCCCTCGCACGACAGTCCCAACAGCGGCCAGGTCGGCTACGCGATGTTGAAAGCACGCGACGAAGAGCAAAGTGGTGGTCACTATTCTGGTTGATTCAGAGCGATGAGCACTTCGCGTGGCACGAGCGTGTGTCAAAGCCCGGACTCGTGAGTGACTGGATCTGGGTGTCAAGGTCCGCTAACCTCGTCTGAAGTCTCACCAGCAGTACAAGCTGCATTAGAGTCGAGCGCGATGACCACACCCAGCTTCGAGCCTGGCTCAAGATCCAGCACCAGCATTCCCGGCCCTTTCGGTGGCAAGCACGCAGACTTGACGATGAGGGTCGGCGAGTACATCAAGGCACATGGCCAAGAGATTGATCCATGGTATGGGACCGTCAAGACGAGCCCGAAGAAGGCACCGAAGCCTCGAAAGCAGCAGGCACAGATCAAGGCATCATTCGGTACCGTCTCGTTCAGCCCGAAGCGATAAGGGCATCTGGCATTCCAAGATCGATCCATGGGCTGATGACACCAATGAATGCGATGTTGCCTTTATCTGTCCCCGGATCAGTGTCTCCCGGCAGAAGAGGTGCGACGGTAGGAAGTGGCACTGCTTCAGCATGCTTGACAGTCTGGATGTCCCGATGTATCCCTCGAGGCGCGTCAGAACCCGTGACTGGAAGTTAACTGTTGTCAAAGGAGCAGTAGGTATATCCCATCCATTGAGCTTTGCCTACCCCAGCAATTCTGGTGTTGGGACTGGATACAGCATACTCTGCGAGAACCTGCGACGTGCTGTATCGAACTCTACACAGGCCAACTTTCCCCGCTATACCGGTCTACGTATGAGGTTATAGCATCTATTAGAACCGGAGACTAGCTCTCCACGTCTCTATCGGTCCAACTTACAAGGTCGCCGTATCTGTTGGGACTGGATGCGACATACGCTGCGTGAATATGCTACGAGGTGTATTGAACTCTATGCAGGCTAGCTGTCTCCGCTCTACCTTACATGGGAACAATTGGACCGACTCCTCGTACCGCAAGTGGGCCACTTCAATCACGCATAGGGTTGCAAGTTTTGTGTCTTCGTCACCGACTTAGGAGCTGTCATTGTGTCGCGACACCCTCCGATGAGAGATATAAAAGGCTGCTCACTGTACGCATTCTCTAACGGCCCATCATCACAATAGAACTATCTTGTTTAACTCGTCTGAACACCAAGTCTGTCGATCAGTTGTCCTTCTACGCGATGCATCTATCATTTTTGCTCTCTGCTACCCTGATTGCCCTTAGCGCGGGAGCGCCGTCCCTCGATACAGCTAAGGAGGAGAACATCCCCGCGCTCGATGTTCTCGTCAAACGGCACAATGCATTTCAGAGACTTCAGTGCGGAGCGGTCCATATATTTGACCAAGCTGCCTGCGAAGCAGTTGGACGTTACCGCACGGCCTGTCTCCTTGTGGTGGAGGTCAAATACCAGAACTGCAGACGCCGCGCGTCCAACGACATCCCTAACGACAATCTGGAGTCTTCGGCTGGTGAACCGAGCTGCCCTCCTGCCTGTGGCACGGAGGTCAAGGCGTGTGTCAAGAGATGCGTTAGTTTTGGATCCACTTACTCGATACCACTCTTGATCCACATGCTAACGCATACGATTAGGATGCGAGTTCAACCGAAGCTCAGGCAAAGGCTTGCTTCGGGCAATGTGTAAGCTCTCCACAATACTGTATCCCGATATTTCGACCAACCATAATCTATAAACAGTTCTCTGCATCAGACAAATGTTGCAACATAAATTTTTGAGTGGCCAGGAGACTCAAGATCTCTCAAAAATTGGTGCTCGCTTCGTCTTCTGCGCGAGCCAGGGGCGGAGCATCACAGGAAACCACTGCGCAGTATCTCAAGACCTTACGGCCAAGCTATATGATGTGACGTACAAAAGTTTGTCTCTGCTTCACTTACGCCTCTCTGTGCGATCTCCGATCCTTACTCACCCGAGCGTACGACCAACGTTGCCCTCATACCGTATCACGAAGAAATCACTGTAGTTTACCGTGGCTTCTCACAGCGGTCTCCACGCTCCTGTAGTGGCAAAAGCAAAATGTGCTTCAAAGGGCGACCCTCTTAGCTAGTTTCACTCGTTCACGGCATGTGCCAGCTGCCGCCAACAAGCTCTAAAGTAGAGGAGCTGATGCTTGGGATGAAGTCGGCCGGAACGGTCGGTCAATATTTCAAAGGTAAGGCTCCCTAGCACTCCTCTGAGGCTGGACAGTAATCGTCATTGCATGCAATATATAGATACAATCGTTGTGATAGAGATTCTCGTGATTACCAACGTGCGTGGTCTGAACATCACACAGACCAAAAGCACAATCCTCAGCACAATCCTCAGCACGATGCTTAGCACGATGCTCACGTACTTCATCGTCTCCATTCTACACAACTTAGGAGCACAGAGTACTCCCATCCCATACGATGTACCTTTCGCAGAAAATCACAGATCTAATAATGCTTGCCATCTGCCATTGAGGCCAACATCATCTCACAAGTCAATACCTCCTCATGGCCGAGAAAATTTCGCTCAGCTCATTGATCATACCGACCCGGGGTTAGGGCTTTTCTCCCAGGCGTACCTGTGGAATAGTAGTTTCTGGAGACCCGGCGCACCTATCGTTGTTTTCCTACCCGGGGAGTCTCCTATCGACAAGTATGGGATCATTACCCAGGCCGAATTCTCAACGGTAGGCGTCATTGCCGAAAACCTTGGTGCTGCGACTATCATCCTCGAGCATCGCTATTTCGGCTCAAGCTTTCCATACAGCAACCTTACCAAGGTCAATTTGCAGTACTTAACTGTCGACAATGCACTGAAGGACGTGGTACGGTTTGCTCAGAACTTCATCGCTCCGTGGACTAACGACCCGAGCACTGCAGAGGACGTGCCTTGGATTCTAATTGGTATGTAGGTTTCGCTGTGAATTTTGAACCCAAACTGATTGTTATTAGGTGGAAGCTATTCAGCAGCACAGACTGGCTGGATCGCGAACATTTTTCCAGGCACGTTCTGGGCATACCTTTCGGCTTCGCCTATTCTTCAGGCAATTCCCTCTTACTGGGCTTACTTTTTGCCTCTAATAGAGCATGGACCAAAGAGCTGTATAAGATTGTTGAGCAGCGTCACCCGATTTATAGACGATGTCATCTCAGCCGGGGACGATGAGAGTCTGCAGGCAATCAAGACACTCTTTGGACTTGCTGAGATGAAGACGCCAGACTTTATATACAGTCTAAGCTTGCACTGGGGCGACTGGGAAAGCATTGATATTGGTCAGAATCACACGACAATCGAGACCTACTGCGCTTGGATTGAAGGCTTGGACTACGAACAGGAACTGGAGGACATATACGAGCAACTCGGTAAATCACTAGAAGCCCGGGCAGACTGGGCTACATCGTCAGAGCAAACCGTTCGGGCTCTTCAGACTTACTCTGCAGGATTTCGAAAACATATTGCCCCTAGTTTGTGTATCGACGGAACATGTTTGGACGACAAATACTTCCGACTTAGCGACCCTCCCGAATCTGGCCAGATGTATGAATGGCTTCTATGCAACGACATGATGGGTGGATATGTCACTGGGCCACCTGTAGGGGCTTTATTAACTCCGGTGGTGAGTCGCTTCCTAACCTACAACTACTTTGAGACGAGATGCACGATAGTCCATCCGCTAGAGCCGAATGAAGAGCCCGAAGATACAGCATCAGGCCATCGTACCGCCAAAGCATTCAATACATATACTGGTGGTTGGTCTCCGACGAATGCACGGCGCATTATCTACAGTGCCGGGGAGATGGACGTATGGCGAGAGATGTCCGTCTCGGCTAAACGACGCCCTGGTGGGCCGCTGCAGAGCGACCCTGAATTGGATGTTGTTGTGCACTTGATCAAAAAAGGTTGGCATCATAGTGAGATGTATACTCGTAACGCAGAATTGGACGACGAAGTTCGGCGTGTGCGTGACCAAGAAGTAGAGCAGATATGTTACTGGACACAACAATGGCCAGGATATCGTTAGTTGTTACAGTCATCATTTGATTATATCTCCGCCGTCGTCTGGTCAATTCCTCCTACTCGCCATTGATCTTGTCCCAGATCTTCCTCCCACCAATCCACGTCTGCAACACATTCCCTGCATCATCTAACACCACAAAATCTGCCCTCCTTCCCGCCTCCAATCTCCCTCTCGTCTCATCGCGCATCAGTCCTGCCACATTCTCTGTAACGCATCTCACCGCTTCAGCCAAAGTACAACCCGTCCACTTTACCAAATTTCTCACGCAAAGGTCGAGTGTCGCGCACCCGCCAATCAAAGTATCGGTGCCTGTTTTGACGACTCTGGATCCGAGTTTTGTCTGTGATGTGTCGATTTGAGAATTCCCGGGATAGGTTCCATCGGGAAGACCGAGGAGTTCGATGCTGTCGGTTATGAGGATGCAGTGTTGGGTAGAGGCGCGGTAAAATAGCGCCACGATGCTGGGATGGAGGTGGTGTGAGTCGGGGATTAGACTGAAATAGGGTGGAGGAGGGGATGAGGGATCGGGACTGAGCGTGATGAGTCCTGCGAGGCCTGGGTCGCGGTGATGGAGGGGTGTCATGGCATTTAAGGTGTGTGTAAGACACGTTGCACCTGCGGTGAGCGCAGTGAGGCCTTCAGCGTAGGTTGCGGAGGAGTGGCCGAGGGAGACAATGATGTCTTTTGAGGCGAGGTTTCGAATGAGAGGGGTTGAGGAGAGGAGTTCCGGAGCGAGAGTGATGAGTTTGATAATCTGGGAGGACAGTCCGGATGGGCCGTAGATTTCTTCTGGTGGGGTTGTGGCAGGTTGGAAGAGTGATGATGTGTGGGCGCCTTTCTTTGAAGGATGGAGGTATGGGCCTTCGACGTGAGCTCCGAGTATAGAGGCGCCGTTCTTGACTGTGCGAGGCTTGAGACTTGGAAGAAGCTGTGACGATGTGAGCTGCGGTCGCACGGATACTGAAGCCAACTTGGGAGATGTGGTTTCTGCGACAATTGAGGGGAGCTATTATGCCTCTGGCGAATACTTATGTTCATAGAGGAGAGCCGCTCCTACCTTGTGGTAATGTTGAACAGGTACAGTCGGAATGGTTGGATAGAACCCAGTAACGCCCGTAGTAGCCAGAAATCTCGAAGCCTCGTCAAGCTTCTCCGCATATTTTGTCTTGTTTTCAAAGTGCGTAAAGTGAAAGCCTCTCACGCCATTCGTTTGAAGCTCGAGATAACCAGGTGCTATGATGGCTCCTGCAAGGTCGATGATGTTACCCTCATCGTGAACAGTATTTGGAAGGATCTTGCCTGTCTCAGTGGAAATTACGAGCTTCTCGTTGTCGATGAGTACGCCGCTCCGACAGAGTCTCGCATTTGAAAGTGTCGTGGTCGACATGTTAGAGTTGTGGCGTAAAATGGCAAAAATATTAGCTCGGCGAAAGGACAGACATGAGGTCGGAGGGTCTGCGACTCGCTTGGGCCCAGACATGAGTGGAGATCAAAGACCCCTCCCCTCCATCCATCTTGCTTTCTGCTGTGAGGTTGTATTCACCTCTCGTTAGCACTGCTTTCGCTTCCAAACTAGTGAAGAAGCCAGCTTCTCCATCAGCAGCACTGTAAGGAAAATACGAGCTTGCCGGTGGGTACTCAATTGGTGGCAAGAACGACTACATTCCTCGAGGCCGTTATCAAAAAAAAAGGCCCGACGTCAGTATGATTTTTCCTTCAGTCGCCCAGAGAACACGAAATGCCTCGCCGTGACAGAGTGAGTCGCAATCTCAAGATTCCAGATCTTGTTTCTAGAATAGTGAGGTCAGCGTGCAGCATTGCGTTAGGCGTAGACGCAGCGCGAGTATGGCCGACGCGGTCGTATTACGATGCTAGATAGAGAGATTCGGCGGTCCTTCAAGAGTCGATGTGCTGAATCTGTGCTCCTGCCGCGGTGAAAAGCACCGATCGTTATGCATGGGAACTCGTGGCACGTAGAAGCAAAACTGATCGCCGCAAAGCCACGTGCGAGATCGAAGTATGTACCAAGAGAGATATTCGAAGCTTGGCTGAGATCCAGTATAGTAAGTACAGATGGGCTTTCGCATTTAGCTAAGGTGTTACCGGACGATCAAAGACGATCGAACTCTCGATCACCAATGGAGTCGAATGTCGAGGTGGCCCTAACCACCAGTGAGCAAAGCGGCGCATATCAAGCTTATTGTCAAGCAAGTAGTCCTGCCAAAGCAGGAATGATGGCCAGATAGTGCTACTGTTCCTTTTGCTTGCGGGGTTCGTGTATGCAAGCCATAGTCTTGGGCCAATGACCATTCCATCACGACCAGGTGTTAGGGCAATCGCCCAGTCACGCTACTGTCTTGACCTGGAACTACGCGGATTATCAGATCCCACCTCGAACTTGATCGTCGAACTATCCGAACAGTATCTCGTTCTTTGTTCAATAGCTAGGCCACGATGCGGGGAAGTCTTCTATGGCGCCTCCGATGCAATGGCGGTGGTGGATGGTTCATGTGCTTGCAGATGCCTAGATGCCCAGGAGCTTGGTCCGCCGCAAGAGGGTTAGGCACACTTCATGCCCAGCATCACAGTCGAGTATTGCAAGTATCGATCTCAGCGACACAGCGTCTGAACACGATATGCGTGGAAGAATGCAGATCGCATTCACGATACAGCAAGTGGTATAAAAGACTGCTGGATGTCTCGTAGCCGTAGAGGTTTGTATCAGTCCAGACAAAGCCCAACTCGCAACACCACACTTCAAAGCTCAACAATCTGCCAAAGTCAGCATTAAAGATGTTGTTCAACTCCATCCTTGCAACGGTTCTTGCAACCCTTACTGTGGTCTCTGGCAATCCAACGCCATTCGACTACTCCGTTGAGAGTGACCTCGATACTCGTCAAAGCTGTCCACCACGAAACTGGAGGTTGAAGTGCCAGAGCACCACAGCGTGCGCAAGTGCGTGTCGAAACAGCTATCAGGCTCAGAGGCTATGCTGCACACCATCGTACTCATCCGTCGTGGGTGCAGGCACTGCCAACTGCTACTGCGGCTGCAACTGCCCTCGTGAGTTCCATTTCTCAATCGTATTGATCGTAAACTAACTTGATCCAGCACGATAAGCATCGGAGACCGAGATCAATGAGCGTTCGCCTCTGAGTCGAGCTCAAGAGAGGAATTGGAGATAGCTGGTCTTGCATGGGGTTTTGGCAGAGAATCTTGCGACTTGATGCAAGGACATGAAGGCAGCGATGTGCTGTGCATGTCGTCCACCGTGCAGTAGCATAGCAACGAAATGTGAATCGAATACTCGTGCCCTTGCACTCTTCACCTCCCAGGACATCCTACCATGTGTTAGTCCAGGTACATCAGACGTATACATGCCATGTGCTGTTGACAGTTGCTTGTGCAAAGTGTCCCAAGACGCACTGCGGGCCATATGACAGCCGAAGCCAATGTGCCACGGCCAGAGCGGGCATCTTGATGCAGTGCGAAGGGCTTTGTGTTGATTGACACAGTTGTCACGGTCTTTGCTCAACAACTTGCTTGTGATCGAACGAGGTTCCGCTGATGAGATTTTGTCTCGCGCGCTATCGGACAAGTCCTGGTGCTACTCATCTTGTTACCAATTGCGCAGCCGAATGGTAGACTACAGCATCCCGTTGGCCAGCTAGGGGCGTGGCTCTGCTGGGGGACTCGACGAGGCGCGTGCTGATTGTTGGAAAACCAATAACAATAACTACTGTCTGTTTTCGTGTTCAACGTCAGCTCAGCACTCAAGATGTGTATGCTTGGTGCCTTGGTGGGCAGAGCCAAAAGCGCGATGGCGTGTAGCCACATCTTGGACTCTCAGCTTCCACCGCCATCAGTCTCGCCTGGCGCACTCTCTACCTCTTACCTGCACCGACTGCACCTTGATTGTTCTCGCGATATAAAATTTCGCTATGTCGAGATCTTGATGTCGTGGTCGCGTTGATGGTGTGAGATCATCGTTGAAGGTCTCACGCCGAGCCATTGACATTGGACAGCTGGCTTGCCAAGGTCAACCCTCCTCTTGTTGAGCTCTGATCTTCAAACACGCGTACATCACGATCCCTTCAGAACCGCAGTCGATATGGCAGACGAAGACAAGGAAAAGGCGGAGAAGCTCGCCGCGGCCAAGAAGCGGGTATGCATGACGAACGCGCTTTCGCGACGCATTGACTAACGCGACTCTCGGTTTAGTTTGAACAATTGAAGAAGAAGCAAGCCAAGGAGGGCAAGAAAGGCGGCAAGAAGAAGGCCGACAAGAAAGACGATGCCGATACTAAGACCGAAGACGCAGGCGAGGAGACAGCTGAAGCGGATGCCACAGCCAACGCCGAGGATGCAGAGGCAGATGCGCAAGAGGAGGAGATCCGCGAAGAGGTGAAGCGCAAAGAGCGAACGAAATCATTCAAAGAGGAGGCATCAGCCGCGCAATCTGAAGTTCAAGAGCTCTACAAGAAGCAGACGGCCAAGATCGAGGAGCTCGAGAAAGAGAACAAGTCGCTCAAGGAGCAGCAAGAGGAGAACACAAAGAAGCTGAGCAAGGCCGAGGAGGAGCTGGAAAGCCTGCGTGAGGGTAGCGGCGAGGTTGCAGAACTCCGCAGCAAGGCGAAGGAGACTGAGCGATTGACGACTGAGCTGGCCACTGTCCAGAGACAGCTGACCCAGGCTCAAAAGGAGCAAAAGAATACTACACGCAGAGCGTCGTCAAGCGCAAGTCCGGAGCTGGTCGAGCAACTTGCGACGAAGGACTCGACAATTCAGTCTTTGGAGCTGGACATTTCCAATCTTCGCAACCAGATCACCACTCTGGACTCTACAATATCGGAGCGTGATGCTGCAGCAAAGGATTTGGAGGACCGCGCGAAGGTGGCAGAAGCGCAGACGGAGACTGTCAAGCAGGAACTTGATGCTCTGCGAGCATCTATCTCGTTCCCGAGCGACGAAACAGCATCGGCGAAAGACGACCCAGAAGCTCTTACTAAGCGCATCAGCGTTCTTGAGTCTGATCTTCGCACTGCCAACAACAATCTCGAGGCCGCTGCCAAACGCGCAACGTCTCTTGAACAGAAGATCGAAGCCTTGACAAAGTTGCACAAGGATGCCAATGCCACCTCACAGGCCAAAGATCGAGAACTTGCAGACCTTCGATCACAGCTGCAGCGTCAAAATAAGAGAAGCTCTCACGTTCGCCCGGACAACTTGGACGATTTCGAATTGTCTGAATCAGAAACCGAGACGGGTCAGCTGCAAGCACGGTTACGAGCATTGGAGGCCGAGAACTTTGATCTACGACGCGGAGTCTGGAGAGACAAGCGAGCCGAACTTCAGCCAGGCATGAACGACGACGGATTGAAGGACGTGGATCTGTACACACCTGATGGCACGAATAGACAGCAGGGCTCTCTTCCCCGTCAGACGAGCACATTCCAAGATGTGATCAATTCGGGCATCAATGCTTTCACGGGGAGGGAAAGAAATCAACCGCCTAGGAATAGAGCAGAGAGTCTCGGCTTGATGTCTGATGATGGCGGATTCGACGAGGAGGCTTTCAGACTCGCTCAAGAGGAAGAGCAGAAGCGACGGCTGGAGAGAATCAAAGATGTCAAACGAGGTCTTGATCAGTGGAAGGGGTGGAGAGTGGATCTGGCGGATAATCGAAGAAACTGGGCTGGAGATGGACGACAGGTGGGACCTGTCTTCGAGCTGTAGGAGCAGAGCATGGAATATCAGACGCTATAGAATACCCGCATGACTTCTTCACCTGCCTTGTTCTATTCAAGCACTATTCACGCGATTATCTTGGCATGCGAGCTGAACCCTCGCGTTCCACGGCGCGCCGGGGTCCCGATGACGAACTGGCCCCAAGCGAGGGTCAGCAACGTCTCAGCACAAACTCTCCACATTCCTGTTCTCGTGCACACCGGATCCTCCCCTTTCCTTGTCCCTCTGACAATACGCCATTTGCGGACTCTCGCGCTTCCACTTGCTCAGCGCAGTCCAGTACAATCATGGCCGACAATTCCCGCAAAACTCACCTCCAGGCTGACGATAGTAATCCGTTTGACGATCCCGATGCCTCTGATACAGCGTCATCCTCGCAGGATGCCTTGGTGCTGACCGTGGACCGCGACGCCACCCTCACACTCGGCACAGACAGTTTGATCGTGCTCGACGAAGGACTCCGACATCGACGGGCTGCATCGACATGTTGCGGCCTTATACCTCGTTTGGGGAAGACGACGAAAGCCATACCCTTCCACGATATACTATGGGCGGAATTCGATGAATCGACGTTTGATGTCACGATACGTTATGCACAGCCGATAGGGAGAAAAGGGAAAGCGTGCCGGGTTGGTGTGATCTCATATGCAGTGACGGACAAGAGTCTGTACGCTCATACAAGAGCATGGTTGCAGAAGCTGCTCGATCGAGCGTATCCAGTACATACCAAGAGGCGGAAGCGAATCAAGGTGCTAGTCAACCCTTACGGAGGAACAGGAAATGCTGAGAAGTTGTGGTCAAGGGAGATCCAGCCCATATTTGCCGCAGCAGGCTGCGAGATAGATGTGGAGCGGACAACATATCGAGGTCATGCTGTGGAGATCGCGGAGAAGCTGGACATAGATGCTTTTGATGTCGTGGCATGCGCGTCAGGAGACGGACTGCCACACGAAGTGTTTAATGGGCTGGCGAAGAGACGGGATGCGAGAAGGGCACTGAGGAAGATTGCTGTGGTGCAGCTACCCTGTGGAAGTGGAAATGCTATGAGCTTGAACTTGAACGGGACGAACTACCCGAGTCTGGCCGCCCTGGAGATTGTGAAGGGAATCCGGACTTCGCTGGATCTCGTCGCCATCACACAAGGAGACAGAAAATTATACAGCTTTCTGAGCCAATCCGTCGGCGTGATTGCTGATACGGATCTTGGGACTGAGAGTTTGCGTTGGATGGGAGCTTTTCGATTCACGTGGGGCATTCTCGTGAGGATGCTCGGCAAGACGATATATCCTGCGGAGGTCAGCGTATTGACCGACACGGACGATAAGCGAGCAATCAAAGACCGATATCGAAGTGCGCGGCAAGAACACGAAGCAGCGAAAGCAAAGAATATACACAATTCACTCCACGACGATGACGAAGCCGAAAGCATCACAAACGAAGATGAACTTGGCATCCCAACGCTCAAATACGGCACAGCGACAGATCCCCTTCCCGCATCCTTCATCACAACCGACATGCCCAAACTGGGAAACTTTTATGTTGGAAACATGTGCTACATGTCCCCCGATGCCCCCTTCTTCGCCTGTGCATTACCTTCCGACGGCCGCATGGACATGATGGCAATCAACGGCGACATCAAACGCTCGACTTGCCTGAGCATGCTTCTCAAAGTCGAAGACGGGACGATGATAGACTTTTCCGATGCAAAATACAGCAAAATCCTCGCCTACAGGATCACCCCGCGCGCGGCGCCTGCAGAGTCTCGGAAATTGGGACCCAGGATTCGGAGATGGCTAGGTGGTACAACAGTCGGAGGCTCAGACGATGGACTCATCGCCGTCGACGGCGAAAGAATACCATTTGAACCCTTTCAAGCAGAAGTGATACCTGCGATGGGAACAGTCTTGAGCAAAAACGGCGGCATCTACGAGTTTGATGGGCCAAAAGCATAGCATCCCTCCTTTGGCTGCTTTTCGATTAGCGAGGCGAAAAGCACAAGAAACCAGAAAGAAAGAAGCAAAGATGAGAGAAGAGCGCTGGCGTTTAAATCTGGATAAAATGGGAAGATACCCCCCAAAAATCTTTTTTGTATTAATACCATCATGTTGAGTGACTAAACCACTTTCTGAACTAGGCGGCAGGCAGGCAGGCGGGGAGTTTGGGAAATTTGAGCGCGGAGCTGGCGATGAAGCATGTGTATCAGTAGAGTCAGATTGCATTCGGAATCATGAATGAAAGGAACTGGCGGTCTGTATGGGGCTTCTAGTATGTGTTCTTTTGAACTTCATTCAGAACGCTATCGCCCTCATCGCCGTCTGCATCACGAGGGAGGGATGCCATTGCAAGCCCTGTCCTTTATGCGCACGATTCAATTGTGAAGCGATGGCGCTCCATTCAGGAGCTTGGGCACGCGGTCAACACCTGCAATGGATTCGACTTTGCTCCATGTTTCGAGCAGCCTTCTGGCGATTGTCGAGGCGGCATTTACTGCCTGCGTCAGCAGTTCTCAGGCGTTGACGTTGAACTACACGGTCAAGGTGGCTGTGGTCATGTATGAGGACTGTTCAGGGGAAGTGAACGTCACCAGGTTGCATTCAGGGAAGTCAAAACATGTGACAATGGAGGAACGCTCAATCAATGCTTCGAAAGTTGTTCCATTTGATTGATGGCTACTTCGAAGTAACGCTTAAAATATTATATCGTCAGAATCGTCGACGCATATGCTCAATACAAGACTGCGAGGCAGAAGGCTCGCTCAATGCCCAAGTGTGGTATCATTCCGCAATGCCCCAAACCTCTCGCAAAATGCCCCTGTAAGTCGACTTCGGCTGTATCGTAAAGTCGTAATCAGAGCGCGGATAACGCTCGTCGTCCTCATGTTGATGAAGAAAGAAATCGGTCAGCGATGTGCTTAGAGCGCGAGCATGGCCAAAACACCAGCGGCAAGCATTGGTGCAGCGGTCATCATGGCAGCTCCGTTGCCACTGTCAGTCGCCGACATGACAACGTCGCTGGCGCTGGAGGCGGCAGAGCCGGCAGCATCGGTCACGCTGGATGCAGCAGCGCTTGCGCTTCCCATGGCGTCCTTTTGCAAGTCAGTCTGTGTATTCAGGGGATAATTTCTTGGGGGATCAACTTACGGTTGGAGTCTCAGTAGCACTGACGACGTTGCCAGCGGAGTCGGTGGTCTGGCCATCGCTGTTGGTGCCGGTTGGAGCGGCGCCCGCAGCACCGCCTGAGGCAGTGTCGAAGATGGTGGTGAAACCAGTGGTGGTGACGAAGGTCGAGTCAGAGGCAGAGACCAGAGCAGTCAAGGCAGAAGTGGTGATGGCAGCAGCACCGGCAGCACCGCCCTCCTCGCTGTCGTCGCCATTGCCGGTGGCAGATGGGGTTGCGCCAGAACCGGAAGCAGAGCCGCTGGCACCTCCAGCACCTCCGGCACCGCCTGCACCTCCGTTGGAGTCGTCGCCGCCAGCAAGAGCGCCTGAAAGTTTGTTAGCTGGGGATCGCTGTGGAGGATTGAAATTGAGGAGGACCCACCACCGCAGTACTGGGTACCGTAGGCGATGACCTGCTGAGCAGCAGCAGCGTCACCGCAAGCCTGGTTGGCACAGTCGCGCACACCGAAGCCGAAGTCAGCGTTGCGGCACAAGCAGTCGGCCTGGGCGTCTGGGCAGCCGAGCGATGGAGCCAGCGCCAGCATGTTGTTGATGCATGTTTGCTGTTGTCCTGTCAGCCATTGATCTTCGACGTTGCGCAACGCAGTCGCGTGGAATGGAAGAGCATACCCCACACGATGGCAGCGAGGCGAGGTCCTGAGCGGCGGCAAGGGTGGCGCCAATGGCGAGAACGGTGAAAGCGGCCTTCATGATGCTGGTGGTAGTGATGCTACTGGGATCGATGTGTGGTAGTCGATGTGCGCGGCGACGATGAGATGGATGTGGTTTGCGATCTGAACCAAGAGCAACGTCTGGAGGCGCGTGGAATGCGAACGCTGTGAGCTGGTGGGTGAGGGAGGGAAGGAGTCGTCGGCTCAGGGAACAGCGGTTGGGCGAGCTTTAATCATGGGGAGGCACGGGCACGCCTCTGCTGCTGCAGTGACTGCACTTCGCGCTTGCCCACGATCGCTTCACATGTCCCGGCTTGTGACGCACGATGCGCCTGGAACACGCCCATCTCGCGTTCGCGCTCCGCCGCCATATCGGTGGGACAGCGATCGTGGCCGTTGCCTGCGAGTCGGTTGCCCCGTACGAGCAGCGTTGTGAAGCTTCCCATATTGGTCGCAAAGTCTAATCCAACTTCGCGCGATGCCGCGCCAGGTTCCTGCAGCGCGGTCAGTAGCGTGGGGCTGGTGTTTCGCGCTGGAGCCAGCGTGCGTTCTGTCCTCGCCGCCTCTGATAGGCGCGTCGCTTGATAACCATGTCGAATTGCAGCGCCGGCCCAGCGCAAACTGAGCACCATGACTTCACTTTGCGCAGACCGCTTCTGCGTTGGCAAACATGTTTCTCGTCGCTCCCGAACGGCGACTGTTCTGCGCTGCGCAAACGGCGGGCAGCTCATCGGCGCGTCGCAATCTTGCGGCCGAGGCATGACTTCCAGATGGCAACGGCCGGCGTGTGGCGCGAGCCCTGCTGCTGCTGCTGCTTGCTTGCTCCCTGCTGCCGTCGTTTCGCGCACACTACTCAGGCGCGAACGACACCGCGCTGCGACAAGATGCCCGACTATTGATCTCGCTACTCCTCCCCTATGGTTGGACGTCGGGAAGTGAGCCAAGGACGGCTCCTGCCCGCTGTGGCGCGCTGTCGACACTATGTACAACATCTAATCTCCCACTGTTTGAAGGCATTCCCGCAACCTAACCCCTTCGTTGGCGCCGCAGTACTCCCAGTGCTGTGTGCACAGCATGAGGTGCCACGAGTGATTCCAGTTCAGCGCGCAATCAAGATCGATGAACAATGCAATCGTCCGTGTAAATGCAGCTGTGACGATGAAGCTCTTCTCCGTTGCCAGGGCACGAGCCGTGCTGTGCCACTGAACTACCAGCCACCCCGCAAGTGACGACCGCGCCGAGGATCCACCGATGCATCATCGAACCGCAAAACTTGGCATTCTGCGACTCTGCGCAAAGACATGATCAGCAACACAGGATCGATATCGACCGCAAGCTTCAGGCCGTCTTTCGATAGATGACCTGCACGTCACGACAGCGCACCGACAAAGCCAGCCCACTGCACTCTTTCCAAACGCTCATGTGTCACCGCTGCCGAACGTGGCAATGACGATGACCTATGCGCGGTGGGCCCGATGACAGATGTAACTTGGCTATTGACAGATACTGATCAGAGCGCGATGGGGGCATTCAGATCCTACACTTTGCGCATAGTGGCCTGTTCTGGAGCGACTTGACTTATGCAGTAATGTTCGCTTGCAGGGCAGAAGATCATCTGGACCACACTTCCACTTCATCAGTGGTACCATTGGAAGCCGGACCCTTTGACAATCTATCCACCGTGATTGTTTGGGACATTGCTCTTTCACGCCCAACATTCGGTCAACGTTTTGTGCGACAACCACTCCACGTTACATAACGATCTTCGAATGCAGGGCGCAACGATCTCCCCACAAACTGCTTGAGAACAGTTGTTACGATGACAGTTATGGAGACGGTGTCACCAGTCTGAGACATTTCACACCAGGCGCGTGCTCTCCGGCAATTGAGGCAAACGCCTGTTCCGGGTATTGGTATGAAAGCGACAGATGCAGTCTGTGAGCTAAATCGACGACGCCAGACTGCAATCGTCACGCATTAACATGATCCCATTGTGCAGTGCTTGATCGACTGCAAGACCAAACTGTTACGGTATGCAATGTCATGCCACGATGGAAAGACAATCCACGACCTCTCGTCAGGTCAAATTGCGCGATGCACTAATCGCTCGCTAGGAGGAGTCCTATGTTACGATACAAATACTACCTAACTTGCTTGCATCAAGCACATCATCTAGCCTGATGGCCTTCGCTCCAGTCCGATGAGACCAAGACCAGTTCGCGGGATTTGCAGCAAGTAAAGCAGTCCATCATTGTCCGCTCCGTTGCATCGCAAAGCATTGCAGCCTTCGGCTGCATGGGGCCCGACTCCAAGGTAGCTACCCACAGCTGCATCCAGGGGTACCAGGAAGGGCTGGGTGTCAACATTGTTGTCCGCGGGGCGATTATAAGGACCCGAATTCTGGATCGTCGCTCGCACGTCGGCAGGCATGTCGGTCACCGCAGCCATCAGGCGGCGGAAGAACTCATGTTCGCCAGGACCTCCGGCATTGCCAGGGAACGCGCCGTGTAAGTCCAGGTTCAGGGCACCTGGAATTGTATCAAGCTCTTGATAACCCGCTCGACTCACAACCATGTCAAGACTAGGAATGACAAACGTGTTGGTCCCGAGACCTAGGCTGTAGAACATATCAGAAGGCGCGCTTTGGACCCAAGCTTCACCTGGATACAGCCTCCTGGTGAGATAGTCCGTATTGACTTGTTGCTCGCCAGATTTGCAGCTGTTGAGCCAGGCGTAGACACCAAACCCGCAGTTCGCGGTGGTGCCCTGCCTCATCTGGCGGATGAAGTCGGCGGGCACAATCTGACGACCGCCAAAAGCTCCCTCGTTGAGCATCAGTAAGCCAAGGCGCCCGTACTCCAGTGGCCTAAGCCATAGTCCGGAGTATCCTGTGGTGTCACCAGCGCGATCTTTTTGCCAAAAATAAGCTGAGCGTGGAATTCCCAGCTTGTTGAACAGCTCCGTCTGAGCAAAATCCTGGAAATCTACGTTGGTGCCCGTGTTGAGCTGGACCTGGCGTTCCAAGATAGGAGTAACCACCGAAGGGGTAATCTCATCGAACTCGTAATACTCTCCAGCAGGTCGGAGTAGCTCTGTGGAGAAGTATTCGCGATAGCGAGAAATATCGGCGAAGAGATTGAGTCCCGTGACGTGGTTGACTCTCTGGCCGGCGACCAAGTTCATGAAGTTTCGCAGAGTTCGATTCCTGTGAGCAGCATCCCCCAAGCCAGGCTCGACATATTGATCGATGGGCGCATCAATATCGACCCAACCTCGACCTGCCACAATTCCGGCCAGCAAGGCGATAACGGTCTTGGTCTGGCCCGCGTTGAGTTCTGGTACTCTTTCGAGGAGAGGATCGCGCAGTCCTGAGCCAACAAGACAGCCGTGTCGGAAGACTTTGATCGAAGACGATCCCATGACCGAGGCGTAGTTCAACGCATCTTGCAGTTTCGCAGAGTCAAAGCCTTGACTGCTTGGTGAAGCCTGAGCATATTCATTTTGTGGTAGTGTATTGCATCTCTGACTCCGCACAGCTTGCGCCCAACCCAGCACGCAGACCAAAATCTGGCCGATGGGAGACATCGCGACGGCTATGGTGTTGACGAACACTCCGAGCGCAACGTTCTACTACATATTAACTACCACACCGCGCTATATCTTTTCCACAACCAGCCAAGGAGCGGGGCTCAGGACGCTATTTGCCAGAACGAAAGATCGGCTCACCCAAAAAGAAGAAAGTTGTAGTAGTTACAGTTCCTGATCAACTCGATTCGCGGATTTGCGACGGTTATAGCGACTTTTGGTGCTGATCGGCATGAGGCGCGAGCTACGACGCACTACCCAATCTACAAGGAGATGTATTGCAAATCGATAGGAATGACGGCGATGGCGCTCAATAATAATGTCGCCCAGCCTATCGATTGACCGGTGATGCATCCCTCACACTCTCATGACAAAGAGGGATTGTGTTGCGCAAAGAGCACAAGCTGAGTCTTGTTACCCATCCAGCACGAGCGAACTTGCCACCAAACTTCTACGCAAGTAATGATCACTAGCGCTCACGGATCTTGCCAGGTGCATTGACAGAACCTCCAGGACGACGAATGTAGCGCTGATCGGCCAAGTCGTCCTTGATGCCGCTATTCCCACCGACCCCTCGCATGCTCTAACACCAGTATAATCTGATATTCAGCCAGCTCAAACGCTTCGGCTCTGGACTCTACTTTCACAAGAGAGAAGGAAGTATTGCAACAATGCTCCACATCCTTTCATACCTGCTTCTGAGTGCCACAGTAGTCCTCGGAGGTCCTCTCGCAGAACCACAAAGATCTAATGGTCCTTGTACTCCAGAACGTTGCATTGCCGGTACTGCTCAGCTCGTGAAAACCATCGAATCGCATTCAATAGCAGATGCTGCGAAGATTCCACTAGCTCTTCTCTCAAGCAGAACCGCGTTTCTCAAGTGAGTCCCAAATATTCCCCTCCTACTAGCCTCGTCATCTAACTAGATCTCCTCCCTCAGAGACACCGAACTAGGCCCAGAGTCAACTATCCCTGTCTCTCTCGGAGTCACCGGCGCCGGCGTTCGAGCCGTTCTTGTGTCAGCTGCAACAGCCATCAATGCCAGAGTTCTCAATGCACGATATTCAGTCAACGCGAACGGCTCGGTCACAGCAGACTTCATCCAGCCGGACGAGCCGGTGCTGAGATGTCTTGTTGTCAAGGAGATTCACGATTATGATCTTGAGACGTGCGAAATTATTAGAAGTAATGTTTATGGATTCGGGAAGATTATTACACGAGGGCCGAATGATGTGTTTTGCGAGTGATTGGGCGCTGCTTTGATATACAGACGAAGTAGCCAAAAAGGCGTGCAATTCGTAGAATAAATCCGCCAAAGTCCCACTTTTCCGTCCCAAAATAGCTAGTTCCAGTTTCCATCGACCCTCAAGTTCTCACGTCGTCTCGAACCTGCAGCGATCCCCCACTCATGCACGAATAATGCCCTCCTCCGACTACTCCTCCGCCATAGGCGGTGGGCTCAAGCTCAAAGGCTCCTCATCCGGAATCGACAAATCGAAAAAGAAAAAGAAGAAATCCTCAAAACCCAACACCGAAGCAGACAACAACGAGAAGACAGCAACCAAAGACTCCGAAACCTCACAATCCGCCCTCCAAAAAGCCCTCGCAGACACCGACGATACCTCCAAATCCCCCGACGCGACAGAAATCACCACGTACGGTAAGACGGAAGCGCAACGGAGATATGAAGAGCGGAGGAAGAAAAGAGTACGTTCTACATCTCGCATGGTGCATAAATGGAGAAGACGCATAACTGACACATTTTAGCTCGAGGAACGACTCCAACGCGAAGGCGTCAAAACGCACAAAGAGCGCGTGCAAGAATTGAACAAATACCTCTCGACACTCTCCGAGCACAACGACATGCCACGAATCGGACCGGGCTAAGACGAATGATGGGACCAAGAAAGAGGAGAATGCGATCATCGTGGGTTAGTACGTGTTGGAAATGGCAGCAGGTAAAAGAGATACGCTCAAAGAGGCAATGCTGCAGGACGTACGCGAAAGCGAGACAAAGTTGGTATTCGAATGCTCAGGCACTGGACCTACACGTATGTGCTGAGATGACGAGGAGCTCAGACACGCATGGTGGAGAAGGAACATGCTCACCACCTGGAAAACCCCCGGCAGTCCGCATCACAGCACTCGTGGACGTTTCCCGAGCAACACTCCTCTGGTCAACGTGCCACTTTCACCAGAGAAATGCCGCCATGCACGCGACAGCTCACATTAGCTCACAGAACGCGGGAACGAGAAGATTATTGGCAAGCTCAGCGGGTCCATCAAGCAGATATGTACGTTGCCCTTTTCATCACAACCGCGCATCGCTCATTACAACCTCGAACCCAGGAACCAAAATTTACCTCGTTTGTTGTATGCTGTGCTTGGTACATCTGTCCAGATGCCATCATTATCGACAAAGGGAAACAAGGCTGATTATGAGCAGTTTTGGGCTCGCCTGTCTTTTACTTCGCACCCGCGACGCGTTCTTTCCATTCCATCAGAAGACTCTCAACTCAGACGACGCTATGCTTGCCCCATCATGCTTTGACGCGTCCTGGTAGTGACGCGACTCCTAGTCGGACCTGACACTGTAGGTGCGGTCGACATGGATGTAGCCCGGCCCGTTTCCCAGCTCCACGTCCACGCTGGTGCCATCCTGGTGAATCACTTTCTTCGGAGAGTCGTCACCGATCAAAGTATCATCACACACAAGCGCCTTCTCGCTCTGTGAGCGTTCGTTGTCTGCAGTGTGACCCGGTGTACGTGGTCCGAGAGCGATGTCGCGATTGCGCTTGACTTGGTGTGGCGCGGCAATGTTGATGTTGTTCGTGTTGGTGGCGGCCCACATGCTGGAAAGTGGGAGGAAGGTACCGACAACTACGGGCATCAAGGTGTAGATCTGTGATGCGCCGTATACGAAGTATGTGAGAATGCCGAAGATCGCTGTATGCAGGTCAGTATCTGTTACGGAAGCAGTCAATTGGCGGCACTCACCTGGTATGCACATGGTCTGACAGCCCATGACGAAGATGATTTGCATCGGCCCAAACTGCTTCATGCCCATGGAGCGGCGCTGCCAGATAGCGTGTCCGAGCTTGGCGATGAAGACGGCGCTGAAGAAGATGATGCTGGCAATGATGCAGATGTTCGAAGCTGAAGCCATGGCATCGATCAGGGCCCATTCTGCGTCGGTCTTACCGGCGACCTTCACGATGCCAAGTCTAGCGTTGACGACCATAGTCGCAAAGCGAACAGCGCATACTGCTACCGCGACAAATGTGGTCACTGCTGTTACGACCAGTCGCCAACGTGTCTTGAGCGTCACACAGACAATTCGAACTTGGAACAGAAGCGAGAGCTCGAGACCAAGAACGACCAGGAAGTTGACGACTTCGGCAGCCACAGAGAGTCGAATCCAGCCATCGATGTCGTGGTAGTAGCTAACGACCCAGTTGTAGAAGTTGTAGAAGGGACCGTGAAGTGCAATGCTCATCATGATGGCACGTATGAGCAGGAGCACCAAGCAGCCAAGATTGAGAAAGAAGATGATGCTGCGACGCTTCTCCGGTCTGGTCATGATGGCGAGGATCAGCATCAGGATTGCCGAAATGCCAAGCTGGACGCCATAGATGATACCCGTGTCGACCGTGGTGTCTTGAAGTCGGAAGATGTGCTCCATGTGGACGGCGATATCGGTCGTTCCATCTGGCATCATAATGGTGAAGACCTGGCGGTATGGATCGAACGTGGCATTCGGTGACAGGCCAGCGAGCTCCATGATTGCTGTTTGCTGGTGCTTTGTTCAGTGCCGGGATGGATGCGCAGAGAAGCTGCAGTTTGCTGGAGGCAACTTGAAAGCCAGATAAAGAAGAACGTGGTTGCGCGATGGGAAAAGTGGTATATTCTCGTTCAGCTTGGGCCACGCGTTCGTTCTGTGATGAAAGAGCGAGAAACAGGAGCCGTTGCGCTGGAACAGAGGAGTTCTTGTATCTTCTCGAACGATTGAGCCTGAGACAATACGTTGTTGGCGGCGGGTATGCCTTGGCTTGCAATTGTTCAGTGCTGCGCTCCACTCACTGCGGGAGGTGAACGCGGCACAATACCACGTCGAAGTGGCCGACGCCCGCTCAACGCCAATCCGAGGAAAGTGGAATGAGGTGTCCAGAAGACTGAGGTGTTGAGATGGAAGCTGCCGGGAGGTGTGAGAGGCAGCTCCGTGAAAGCGCCTTCTTGCCGCACGCCTAGGCAGTTCCTAGACCACCTTCCAGTCCAACGGCAGCCGTTGCAACATGCAGACGCAGATCGCTACTGCAGCTCGTGTAGCGAGAAGAGCGATAGCAGGTCGGCAGGCGGTGCATGTTTGAGCCCGGAAGCATCTGAAGAGGTGCAGGAGCGACATGCTGCGAGGTCTCAGAGAAAGAACAATATGAAGGGGCACGGACCAGCATTGACCAGCTCATGATATCTCGAACATCACTTCGGGCCAGCGTACCGATATGGCAGCTTCCAAATAGCTGTTCTCATGGCTTCATCACTTGAGAAAATGTGGAAATGTCGAGGGCGCTCGATGCGCGCCTCGTGCTTTCCTTCACTTGCAGCCGTTAAGTCTTGGCGCGTCGCTCACGCGTCTCAGGCACCAGCTGCGGCAAACGCAGGCGCACTACTTCAACACTCCCATGCAGAGATGTCTTCGCCATGGCAGAGCCGGCACTAGTGCTGCGGTGCATGTACGGAACCCTCCTTTCACAGCCTGATATTGTCACCCTTTCGTTGCACGACGACCCCACCGTTTTCACATACACGCAGATTTGTTACAGAAACGGTGCCATCACTCTTCGGGAGCAGACAGAGATCAACCGGACTGCAGGCGACGTGGCCGCACGCCTCACTGAGTCGTGCACAATCTGCTTCACTTCACTTGACTAACTGCAGCAGAGGTCCGCGGCCCAATCATTCAACTCGAGTCTTACGTTCAGGACACCACGATCGAGCTCCCGCCTTCGAAGTACCGCTCAATCGACTGGGATCACAGTCAGCTGCCTCTTGCCCAGAGCACAGCGCAGCACCGCATGTTGGCCTTGCGGCTTCACGCGCAATCGATGTAATGACGTGCTCACCTCGACAGGCGAATCCATACTCCTGAGCCCAGGCCACACGATCGACCTCAGATTACTCAACGTGAAGATCGAGATTGCGCTGTCACGTCAACACGACCAGAATCCAAGTCCCCGGCGTTCTGACACGATGGCAACTCCCAGCACCAAGCCTCCCGCTAAGTACGAGTATTTCGCGCGAGACAGCGAGACCGATTCAGACGGCGACGATCTGAACGCGCCGCACGTCCGATTGGAGAAGAGAGCAACTTCGAAGGACACGTCGCCGTCAACCGCAGTCGACCGCCGTGACGGAGCAGATAGTTCTTTCCACACGCAAGCGACACAACCACTTGAAACTCCGGTCGATGCCACACGCAGCAACAGTACTACGTTGCACTCTCCAGGACTTCCAGTAGATGACGAGGCTTTTGGTCTGAACGAGCAGCGCGAGGTTGGGGAGCCTCAAGATAACGACGCAGAAGACGGCACGCCTTCTATTGCACCTGAGGTAGCCTCGCGTGGTCTCAAGCGCAAGTTGACGGCTCGAGCAGACCAGTACGAGTTCCCAGGAGATGCAGACTCTGATGCCCAAGCGAGACGAAATCGAACCAAATTGCCGAAAGCTGCTAGGGACAGTGAGGATGATGGCGAGGACACATCGAGCGCCCCGCCTACTGCTACCAAGAAGCTCGACGCGGTTTTCGAAGCTGTGCGAACTGCGAACGGTGAGCCCAACGAGTCTAAAGTGCCCGCGCCCAGCCCAACGCAATCCTCGCGACAGTCAGCGGGGACTCAGACATCTACAGAGCATCATGAAGATGCAGAAGAGGTGGAGATGGCCGATGCCGAAGATGAAGCTGAAGCTGCCACTGTCTCACCACCTTTCACTACAGCAAAGAAGGGTGGCAGACCACCGAAAGCTGCATTGATGGATAACGGGGAGCCAGACGATGATGAGGAGAGCACGGACGCTGGCGACGACGAGATCGCTCCTGCCGTGCAATCCGACCAGCCCCTCAAGAAGCGTGGTAGGGGCAGGCCACCGAAAGCCTCCCGCGTCAACGG